GAGTGTAGCTCGGGGTTACTTCTCCATACCCTGAGCTACACTCGGGAATATCCCATAGTATTTACTTACCTTGTCCCTCGAGCCGTGCGGTGTCCTCTGGCCGGCGCCGGCATCTGTCTTCCGGGTTCCATCCCTTGCAAGCGTACGTGTCGCATGGGGGCGGAACCGGCGGGAAATTCGAAAAAACCAGGAAAAAATTAAAAAATAAAATAACGAAAAAAATCCCCAAAAAAATTGCGCCGAAAAAATAACGAAAATCAATGAATCATACCGCCAGGGAGGTTAATGGCTGTGTGTTGAGTTATTTTGACAGCAAATGTACACTGATATACAGGTGAAACTCGAATAATTAGAATATCGTGCAAAGTTCATTTATTTCACTAATGCAACTTAAAAGGTGAAACTAATATATGAGATAGACTCATTACATGCAAAGCAAGATAATTCAAGCCGTGATTTGTCATAATTGTGATGATTATGGCTTACAGCTCATGAAAACCACAAGAACCCCAAATCCACAACCTCAAAAAAGTAGATTATTACATGCAATCAATAAAACAAGGATTGTAGATAGAACAATATCGGACCTCTGAAAAGTACAAGCATGCATATGTACTCAGTACTTGGTTTGGGCCCCTTTTGCAGCACTTACTGCAATTACTTTTGCACAATATTCTAATTATTAGAGTTTCACCTGTACAAGCTGTACACTCACTACTCTAAATTGTAGCAAAGTGTCATTTCTTCAGTGTCGTCACATGAAATTATATAAGAAAATATTTACAAAAATGTGAGGGATGTACTTACTTCTGTGAGATACCGTATGCATATATTGACTGCATCGTAAATGTATCTACTTTTTACTTCAAAAAATCAATTTATGGACAGCACATAGGGACTCTGTGTGGTTGATTTACTAAAGGCAAACAGGCTGTTCACTTTGCAAGGGAATTTTCACTTTGCAGGGGAAGTTTCCCTTAACTTAGTGAATGTGGTGAAACTTCACTTTGTACAGAATACCCAATCATGTGCAAGGAAAATAAAAAACAGCATTTTTCTTGAACATGATTGGCCGATGGAGGTCAGCAGAGCTTCTCCTCATTCACTAAACTTCCCCATAAGTGCAAATTCCCTTGCAAAGATAAAAGCCTAGTTGACTTTAGTAAATCAACCCCTATGTGTGTACAAATTATGGAATCAGTGTACTATCTATTATTAATAACAAATAAAGCTATAATGTGTTATAATGGTTAATAATTACCTAGAGAATGATTATGTCTGTTATTCTTCCTTGTAAATCATGTGCTAAATAAGAGTTTGGTCTTGAGGTGAACAAGCAAAGTACAGGGGGAGGTTTGTCTGTCTACAATGGTAGTGTCTTTACAGTGTAAAGCCCGTGACATACTGCATGTGAAGCCGTGCAGAGTGAAGCAAAGCTGTCAGGCATGGAGCTTCACATGCAGTGTGCGGAGCGGAGTGCAGCCAGATGATTGACTGCATCTTCAGCCAATCGGTTCGCGAGTAACAACCTGATGGAGCAAAACAAATGGCAAATGTACTCATCAGCTCATAACCAGCTTTAAAGCGAGGTGCACATAGAAGGGCTCTATACAGTACAACAGCAAAAAGTTTCCCAGCACATTCACCAGCCAGCATGCAAAAAAACCTGTCTAACCGCTAAGGTTAAAAACAAAGGTTTAGATAACGTCTTCTGCAGAATATGTGAAAGCCGCACCGCCTCGTCAAGGCACCTCTATATAGTGCGGTCCTAACTCTAATCTATGAGAGTCTCCATCTTGGAGCACATGCAGCAAAAGATAGAATTGGGTGCAGGTTTGTCAGGAGGCAGCCCAACCCCCTGAAAAGTTACAGGGACACACAAGGGACCCCGCACATCACAATGGCAGCTGAGACCCCCAATGTGTCACTGCACCAAATCAGTCAAGCAAAACAAATGGCAAATGCACTCATCAACTTATAACCAGCTTTAAAGCAACAACATTGCACTAGGGAAGATGTGTGAATGAGCCCTTTAAGTGTTACATATGCTGTTTTATATGGTAAAAATCTCAAATAAATACATTTTCATGCAAGGTTACACCACTGTAAAATAAGATAAGAAATCCATAGAGATGAATACTTATGCCTATCACTATAGATGATTCACATAGTTTAACCCAAAAAATTAAAATTTTGCAGCTTGCCAGTCTTTGGATGTGGTGGCTGCATTAGTTTTCGTTTCTAGCTTTGTCTCTTCTTTATTTTTCACCTGGTGATTCTGGCAGTAACACCAAAAAGTTGTTTGTTCTGTCTACTGGACTATGAGGGCAATGGTATGAAGGATCTGTGACAGCAATTAATAGGGGATTCTAATGGCAGCCCTTATTAGACTATCTGGATTGATTTTGTTACTCTGTTGATACAATTTCATTGTAATATTACTGCAGATTGTAAATGAAGTGTGATGCAATGAGGTATGATCTGAATGTAGATGAAGCTAATGAGATGCGACTAGACAGATACTATTCCATATCAGAAGGCTTAAACTTTGACTTGTCCTTTTTCAGGCATCAAGTTTTAAGCATTGTCCCAGAGACACCAAGCCATGCTGACTACATAAAAAATGTCTTCAATGAATTACAAGTGAGTTACAATAACATACATTCTGAGCTCTGCTGTACAGGTGCTGCAATAGGCTGATACCAGGTCAAATTTAAGCACTTACATTACAAAAGATCTATTAATGAATATAGAGTTGCTTTAATTTGTGTATTTTATATCTGCCTGGGGTTTAGCTTTAGCTAAGATATCTTACTTCATCCCAAAGATCAAAAGAATTTGCAATTTTCGCTAGCCAGCTTAAAACTCCAGTTGTAGAGACATTTTATTTACAATGAGCAGACGTTTGTATACCCATGTATGTTGGAAGGACTGAAACTACGCTGCATATTTTTGCAGGGGTACCCCAATTGTGATATCCTCTATTATTTTTATACTTACCATAAATCCATATTTGGCAATCTCCAACTGTTTGGAATTATTGCTATCCTTACCAGATGGAGAATACTTAAAAAAATTGTGTTTTCAGGAAACCTATTGGATATGTATGTTAAATATTTTATGCCCCAGTGGGCTTAATGAACTAAATTAACTAAATGAACTAAAATGTATTCCTTAATTTCATATACTTCCTACTTTTTTGTACTACATGAGTTGTTTTAATATAGATACAATCTGTGGTATTATATATTTACTATATTTGTTTTTTTGGTTTAGGGACATTATCACTTTGTAATTGTATGGTATATTTAACCTTGGCCGTATTCCTGAGTGTGGCTCGGGGTTAGTTTTCAGTACCAATACCGGTAACCCCGAGCCACACCCGGGATTGCACAAAAGTGTCACTTATCTTGTCCCTACGAGCCCGCGGTGTCCTCTGCTGTGTGCGCCCGGCCGATCCTGGCATCCAACTTTTAGTTTTGTTTTCGGCATCACAGCGGGGGCGGAGCCGGCGGGAAATTAAAAAGTGAAAACATGCAATTTATGTTGGGAAATTCGTCATCAGACACTGAAAGTGACGATAGCGACGATTTTGCGACCGAGCTCAGTGATGTGCTAACTTGGTACTCTATTGATTTTACTAAGAATTACAGGCATATAAGAATACTAAGAATTACAGGCTTACAATATAAAACAACAGGTGAGTTATTCCTAAGATTTACCAAGAATTACAGGCCTACAATATAAAACAACAAACAACAAATGACCATGAAAAACAATATACCGCTTTGGCATGCAAAAATACTGCATAATCAGACCGCCGGGGAGGTTAATACCAGTCTATTGGTCTTTTTACATTATTACTAGTTTTATTTTTTTATAGGATTGATGATGTTATATGATATTTTATATATATTATATGTTATGTAATTGATGTATTTGTATATGAATTTTATGTATATTATGTTATTTACATATAAACAGTCTCGAAAATTGAGTTGAAAAGCTGATTTGTCAGTCTTTGTCATTGCTTTTCATACACTGCTACTAATTATTTGTCAGTTCCTCACAATTCTACATACAAACATGTCATCATCCAAAATGTGAACAGCTTTAAGTAGAAGTCTTCTTCAAACTCAAGAACATAAATTATTTGATTAGACTCATGGACTTTTATCAGGAATAATGCATGACTTTTGGTGTCACCAAAAGATGCAGTACATCAAAATTAAATATACTTGTTTCAAAAATAAGAATATGGTTTTGCTTACACTGTATGTGTGTGCATATATTCCTGATTTTATCAAAGTAATACTTTCAATTAAACTACTGCTACTTTCTGCTAATAAACATACAGGTGGCATGCCTACAGCAACAGGATGCTTTGTCTACTATTCTTTTTTTATGATTGATTGATTGATTGATTGTTATTGATTAGTTGCACAACAAATCTTAATCACTGAAATTACAATGTAACCATGATTTCTATAGCAATCATTCAATAAATCAAGACACTTTGGAATTGCTGGATAACCAGGGCTTGCTTTGGCAATTAAGCAATCTCTGCTTGGAGAGGCTATGGTTTATTAGCAAGGTTCTCAACTGAAGAAATGATGTAAGGGTAATAAAATGATTCCATATCACATATGCATACAATTTCCAAGAGCCTGGAGCTATTGGATGATGAAGCTTTCCCTTGTTCCCTTTTTGCTCATGTGCCACTTTTGTTCATCTATTAATCCACAAAACCCATATCACATTTACTGGTTAAAAGACTGGCAGATATCCCAATATCCACAGCCCTAGAGTAGACATCTTCCTATCTGTGACTTTCCTTACACTTAAATATTTCATGAAATTGCACTAAATTAAATAGTTGAATTTGTGAACTCATACGGTGAAGCAATTCATTCTATAAACATAATATTCTTTATTAGAAATGGAAGCATGAACTTATATTAGTAGTTTTAATTAACTGTTATTTTTCATTTCAGCTGGACCTTTGGAAACCAAACCTAATAGAGGAAATCTCTCCTGGACGGGAAGTGCATGTACGGGTGCCACCTTCCCTTTTGGACCAAATAAAAGGAAGCTTGCTTCAAAGAGATATTGCATTTACGTATGTATTTGATTTTTTTTATTTTCCATATGTATATAGCACCAATATATTACACTGCTTTTAGAGAACATAGAACCATTCATCTCAGTCTTGCTTAAAAGGAGTTTACAGTTTAGTTTCCCTAGAACACTGAGCAGAGAATAAAAACACACACTTAGGACAATTTAGACAATAGCCAATTACCTTGCCAGCATGTTCTGGTTGTAAAGGGAAACCAAAACAGCCAGAGCTTGAACAATAAGGTTAACATTAGAGCTAGAGTCACCAAGGCCAAAGTTGTTGGAGACACAAAGAGGTGATGAAACACAATATGGCTTTAAGCACAAACAAAAGACTGCTGCAAACCCAAGTCTAGTCGTTTCTCTGGTATGGAACAGAAATGTTTTCCCTCACAGTGTCTCTAAAGAAATGACCAAAAATTTTCAACTGTGGTGCTGTGGGGCGCTCTTACAAAACTATAGGGGTCTACTCACGAAGCTGCCGATCTGGCAGTAGCTTCGGCCGATCCTTCGGCTAGCTTCGGCCCCAGGACCCCTTCGGTTCAGTAGAACTGAAGGGGTGCTGTACGGGCTATTCACAATAGCCCGTACAGCTCCAGATCATGGCCGAGCGGCTCAGCCGAGCCGAACGCATATGCATCCGCTCGGCTGAGCCGTGCTGAAAGCTTCTACGGCTGAAATCAGCCGTACCAGCCTGAAGTGAATAGCCAAACAGTGTTCAGCTCACTTCACTTCAGATCGGTCATTCACTCAGCTGCCGATGTCCGTTGGGATGGATAATGAAGAGAAAATGTCAGTTTTTGTGGCTATATTGCAAGAAACCTGGAGAGCAGCTATGCAAGATCTTGGAAGATAGCAGGACAAAAAAAGGAAATGGGAGAAGAAGAACATGGTGAATGACTGACACCCAGCAAGTGGCAGGCAGCCATGATGTAAAGCAGAACATTAACCTGGCAAAAGACAAGGTCAAATGGAAAGCAATGGTGGAAGCAACATTCCAGGTTTGAAGCTCCCCAAAGACCACAAACAGTCATCGTAAGAATAACTACCATGATAATGGTAACCTCCCAGAGACGTGATCAAATTAGGAAAACCATGCACATTTCATGTTGAAAGAGAGCTAGAATACTTAATGCTTTACCACTTAATGTTGTTTAGAAAAGATAACCAATTTAAATGAGAAGTGTTTAGTGCAATAGTTTGTTTTTAGAGTTTTCAGATAATTTTCAATAGTGGCTGATAATGCCACAACAGTTACTTGGTTTTCCAGGGTATGATAAAATAAAATGTAATTTTATGAGAGATTCCATCCATGATGCTTCAAAAATCTAACATTATCAAATCTAACTTTTGACAATGTAACTAAGCAAAGTTGCTATATTATTTGTCAGCATTAATAGCATAATGAATGGTTAAAATGCCTGAAATAAGTACTGAGCAATTGTATGTGTAATAGCAGGATAAATAATGTTAAGTTGGCTAATAATTCATAAATTAACAAAGGTTTGAATTTGATTAAAAAACACAAAGTTTGCAACATACCTTGAAGTTTACAACAAACAAGGGATAATTACATTGCTAATCAAGAATAATGAAACAGTAGAAAATCAATACAAGCTCTGATAAGCTCTAGACAATATAGATTACCTGCTTTGCTAAGGGAGCAAGAGAAAGTTAAAAATGTTTATGAATGGTTGTGTAGCCGGAGCTGTGGTCAGTAATGTAAGTAAAGAGGACTAGTTTATGTCAATTTGAGTAAGTTGGGAAATATATGAAATAACCGCTAAAAGTAAGAACCCCGTCAAGATATGCTGCTCAAAGACTTTACCAATTGGTTGTCTGGTTTGGACCGCCAAAGGTGTATGTATGCGGTTTATATTAGCGGAGCTCCTCATTCTGTCCAGTCAGGTCAGTAGCTCATATATGATAATATACACAATATACTGTATATGTGTAAGGATAAATTGGCCTTAAAAAACACAACTTTTGAAGAACTGCAATAAAGTTGACTCAATGTATGTAAGGGTTGTTGATGCAAAATGCATGTGTGGCTTTTCTATTTGAAATCACAAACTTTTAGTTCTTCAGAAAACATGTGATCATTTATCCAGTTTGGGTGTTGAAAATAAAGGTCACAGTAACCTTTGGGTGTTCTTGGCTTGCCCTGTATACATAAAGCAGGCTTAACTATAATCCTGCTTGGTGAATGATATACTAACCTGATGTATCATAACTGTGTCAATTATAGGTTGATATACGGAGATTAAGAGGAATTTACACAGACGTCTCTTAGTCCCACTCTTCTCTCAGAGCTTACAGTGCAGACCTTGTAATTTAGGGTGATAAACCTCCATACCTCCCCACCCTTATGTGACCCATCTGTGTAGCACAGACAGACAAGACATTTTTTCTCTGGAGGGTTCTGCATGTGGACAGCTTCTAGATTGGCAATACTTTTTTAAAACTGTTAATTTAGATTATAGAGAGGTTGACTCACAAGAGAGGTTGCACAAAATGTGATAATATACTAATTTTGTATATATAATATACAAAACTTTTTAGAGAGTTTTTTTTATTAAACATGCTTTTTTCACATCCGATTATCTTGTCTCTCCTTTCTTCTTTCATAGTGTCATGATCAGTGATGTACAAGCACTCATAGCTAAAAGCAATGTAAATGAACACAGAGTGCAGACATTGCTGTCTTCATTTGATTACACTAAGTACCATCCAATGAATGAGGTAAGAATATACCATTAACATTGCTTGGTTGTAATATTTATAGATATACTGTACCACCTTAAGCACCCCTTCCCGTACTCATCATAGATGTGATTATTGGAAGCCAAGACTTGCAGGAGTGATATTACAAATAGGGAGCATAAACTGGACAGGACGCTTCATCTGGGACAGACAGACAGTGAGAGACTGACACATGTAGACTGGTGAGAAAAAGCTGGGCCAGGAAAAATAGTCAAGCTAGATACAAATACTACAGCGTGCATTAATATTGTACCGTGTATAATATTTATCCCACAGAAAAGTTAATTTTCTGCACATCATCACGAGCACATCATCTCAGGGGGAAAAATTGTCTTTCCAACAACAGCTCACAAGATTTTGCAGTTTACAGATGAGATTTCCCAGATGGCACTGGTGATGTAGCCTTCCCAGGATGCATATGTGAGGCAAGGGCTACTTCACCAGTGCCTTAATCAACCAGAAAGTGGAAAAACAGTAATTGTATATAAAAGAAAACAATGTTTGTTTAACTAATGATTGTAAGGCGATTTTATATCAGCATGCCTAATGTGTTTTTTAGTAAAATGGGATAAAGGTCCTTTTTCTGTGCAGCTGACAATGGTTTCACCAGACAATAGGTGTGGGAAAATCCACAACAGTGACACAGACAGAAATAAAAAGCTCTTAATGATATGACAGAGCAATAACTGAAGGTTACAAATGTAAATATCAAATATTAATATGCAGTATTTCATAATTACCTGACAAAAATGAAAACATGTTTGAAAACAAATTACTTATTTAGTCCTGAATACATTATGGAGGAAATGCAAAGACATGTGGGTAGGTTAGTTGGCTCCTCTCTAAGTTGGCATGTGAGATAGGGACCTTAGATTGTAAGCTCCTTGAGGGTAGGGACTGATGTGAATGTGCAACTATGAAAAGTGCTGCGAATATAGGGGAGGAGGGGGAAGCAAATCTACACTCCCAAATAGAAATAGCTGGGAGGGAGGGCAATGTAGTCGTGATGGGCGACTTTGGTGTGTAAAATGAGATGTGCAAAGTAATTTCCAGTCCGGCTATACAATAAAGCTGTCAATGAAGCACATGAAATTATACTTTGCCCAATATATGTAGTGTATTAGTCCTGTTGCTGTCCACAGCCTCATTTTGTCTGAAATTGACCCTGATGCCTAAGGACCCAAATTTACCCCTTTCAATATGAAATCTATATGCAGCACCATTAGTTTACTTTTGTAAGTCTTGATAAATTAAAGTAAGTATTCTCATACAATTCATAAATACTGGAGCCCTACAGATAAGTTTAAAAAGTGTGTCCCAGTAAGAACACCCAGTTGAGCTATCATAATTTTGCTCTACAAATACGGTATCCATCAGTTAAACGTTAAAAAAAATGTATTTGTCTTTCACAGATTTACAAGTGGATTGACCAAATCAAGGAAGCACATCCAGATCTTGTTACATTAAATTATTTGGGATCAACCTATGAGATTAGGCCTATTTACTACTTTAAAGTAAGTTGTATTGATCAATATTGATAAGGCCAACTGGAATGTGTCACAACCAAGGCTTCTTTGTAGCCCTGGGGGCTGCAATTGTCTGACGCCCTCATACAGTCCAAGTTCCAGTACAGTAATGTGCATTTCACCTGCCCTGGAACCAGCACTAGCCCCAATAGTCTCCTTTGGCACTAAATGGAAGCCTCAGCTTTAACATTCCTGACAGGTTTGCTATAAGTTGCTACATTATTTTCACTGTTTTATTTTTTAAATATTTAATCTTTATTTTATAATTTAGTTAGACACTGGTCGATTGATAAATCTCCCAAATTATACGAGGTTCTACAAGACTCTGGCCAGATGGATACACTGCAACAAATACAAAAGAAGTACGGGACTAGGCCTTGGGACAATTGGCGATATCAACAGTTACATCACTTTGTTGCCTCTCTCCCTAAACCACTCAGATCAGTGAAAAATTTACACCCACTGGAGACTTTATTGTCACAAATAGACCCCCCATCACATGGTCTCTCGCGAATGTATAAAATACTTCTATCCTCACAGACATCCCAAGATCCGTCATACATCTCACAGTGGGAGGCAGATTTAGGTAATACACTGACAAGCATTCAGAAAAAGAGGCTCCTCAGCCTCAATTCTGCTTCCTTGATTAGCACCCACGTGGTTGAGGCCTCATTTAAATTATTAGCAAGGTGGTATTACACCCCGGACAGACTCCATGCAATACACCCATCTCGTTCTTCTGAATGCTGGAGGGGATGTGGACTAGTGGGCACCCACGGGCACATATGGTGGTTTTGCCCCAAGATTAAACCCTATTGGAAACAAATTATTCAACTTATTACTACTATAACGGGGCAAGCAACCCCTAATGACCTGTGGGTTTGCCTACTACACCTCTCAGACATACCCCATGTCAGATATCGGAAAACGCTATTACCACATCTATTGAACGATGCAAAATTTCTCATTCCCAAATATTGGAATACTGCTACAATATCCTCAGTTACAGAATGGACAACTAAAGTAGATTATCTATGTCTGTTGGAAAAACTCACTATGGCAAGACAAGAACGGACACATCTGTTCGAAGCTATATGGGCCCCATGGAGCGCCTTCAGAGCCACTATCCCCTTTAGCAATTGATCAGCAAAATATGTCAGATGTGAATCTCTGCATCCCCTTCCCTTCCTACCCCCCTTTCCCTTCCCCCCTTCTACTTTCCCCCATGTTTTTGTATAGGTTTATTGTTGAGGTTGTCATGCTGTTTGCTTCGGTGGCTCCAGGTCCATAGCAAATATGGGCTCTTAAATTAGTGAACAAATCGTGGAGACACGAAAGAGAAATTACTACCGGCAGTAGAGCCATAGAGGCATATACATGGTATATATACAGTGTATATATATGATTTTTTCGTGAAGTATAATGGATGTCTCAACAACAGTTGTATGTTTACTAAATTTTCACTGTTTTATGATTGCTAGGAAACTATAGTGTCATTTTAGCAAGCAATGTGATTCTGCATGTTCAATTTTGATTCTTTTTAGTGGCTGTGTATCAGAAAGTGCTATGATCTGTGATTAATGACAGAATAAGACACATGGAGTATATTGTTTTCATTTCAGTTTAAACTGACCTTTAGACTTGCCCTACACCACTGTGTTGCAGTACACACATTGATGTGTTGTTGTGCACTGCAACACATAGTAACAAATTACCATGCAATGGGGTGTGCTGCTTTGAAAAGAAGGGTGCAGATACATTTTTTTGTCTTTTCTGGTGCATTGGTAGCTCATTCAACCGAATAGTCTGCTTAATACAATGCACATTAACATATGGCATAATGCACCAGAGTGGATAGATGTGAAGGGACACTTAGGGGCTCATTTCAGTGGTTCAGAACAGGTAAGGGTGTTTGGAAGCTCACATTGCTTTGTTATGGAAGAATCTGCATGCATGTTTGTGAAATGCCACCTATATGCATGTCAGGGAGAATAGGTGATGAAAGTCAAAATGATGTGGCTTGTGGGTCGCATTTCGTTATCCAATTGGTTTACAGTTTCTTTCTAAGCATATGTATCTATGCAAAGTGACAAAACACATTCTTCTGGGGAGTAAGAAAAATTCAACCAGTGTTTTTTAATTATTGTAATTGTCAGTGACGTCACAAGGGGGTGCAGCCCGCACCCGGGTGACACCAAAATAACTGTCATTTTGGTGTCACCTCCTCTAAAAAGTCGGGCACTCGGTTATGGACTGAGAGCCCGACAGTTTCAGGAGAGAGGAGGACCCAGTGAGACCCTGAAACATTGTATAGAGTGTTGTACTTGCAACTAGTACGTTAATAAACATGTACTGAACTTGCTTTGGAGCGCTGGTGTCCATCCTTTACTTATATTTTGTCGGAAGCCATCCGCTCTGAGTGCGATGGGTACACAGACTGTAAGGAGAGAGGAGGGGACCCGGCGCCATACCTCATCCTGCCGTGAGAACGTCCCCTCCTCTCTCTGCCGGCGTCCATCACCAAGATGGCCGCCGCCAGGTGTCAATGAGATGACCGCACGTGCGCGAAGATGTCCTCGCGCACGCACGTGGTGATGTCACGCGCATGTGTGATGATGTCACGGCGGTGTGTCACAGGGTCTCTGCTCCAGGTGACACCTGGCCTCGGGACGCCCCTGGTAATTGTATATCATTTTTAACATTGCTGAATGGTTTGTCTATGTATATTATCATGCTTCATAGTTTGACAAACAATACATGCAGATTTGATTTTTAATCACATATTTGTAGGGGACTAATTTTTATTTAGCTTTTAACATATTTATATAGCAGACTAATTTCTAAAACAAATTCTCCATTGTTTTTGAACTGGAACTATGCCCCTTAGTGATGTGTAGGCAGTGAACATAAAAATGCTCACAGCATGTTATTAATCCATCATTATGGGGATGTCAGCAAACGGTGATGACAAAATGACATTGTTTTACAAACAGTGAAATGTATGTAAGGTTTTTTGTTTCATTGTAGAAAGGCTGCACAATTAATACTAGACTTATACATCTGGATATAATATATCACATTGGCTGAAGTCATAAATTATTTGATGTCCAACTGTAAATTGGAAGAAATATGGTTTTCTCTAAAACTAGGTTCTTCACCTCATGACATTACTCCCTAATCATTCATAATATAACCACATTACTATTTGCTCTGAATGTATTTCTCAGATTACATTAATTTAATAATTTTGCAGATAGGATTGCCAGCTGATAAGAAAAAGAAAGTTATTTGGATGGACTGTGGAATACATGCCCGGGAATGGATCTCAGTAGCATTTTGTCAATGGTTTATTAGAGAAGTAAGTAACTTTTTTTTGTACTACGCAAAGATAAATGTACCTGACAGAAAAACCTCTGCAGCAACATAATGTGCAATTTAATGAATAACCCACACAAGTTTATGTAGTAAAGCTGTGATAAAAACAAGGATGAGGTACAAAGTATAGCAGTCCATAGAACTTAGACCTTTGTTCTTCGAAATCAGATCAGCAATGGGTGACTTGTGATTATCTACCTTGGATTGCTGCACTTTATACTCTCTTCTTCATCCTACTGAATAAGCATATTATGATTACAAAAAAACTGTATTGTGAGGTTAAAGCCCACCCCCAACCTAGTTAGATTCACATCGCATCCCCACTATGTGTAGCTCCCTGTAAATGCCCCGTGCTTTTGGTATGGGAGAGCATGTGACCTCCTCCCATAATGCAGTGCTCAGGCTTAGTGGCTGGTTGCTAAGCCTGATCACTGTCACATGACAGAGGGGATGACATCATCACTTCCTGCAAGCTCTGACATCAGAGTATAACTGGGTTGGGGGGAGAGAGGAGTAAAGAGCCCTGTCACATTGCCCTGTTAACAAATGGTACTGATACAAAAATTGGGCAAAAGACAATAATAAACTAAAAGTCCACAAAACTAATAGAAGAAATTGTCCCTAGTAAAACCTCATGGCACATATGTTAAAGACATAATTGCTTCAGCTTCCATCTTGCAGTTTAAAACATGGAAAGAGGGGAGCGCCCATCATCTAAAGGAAGATAGGGAGAAAAGAGCACACAAAAAAAGGTAAAAAAAGGTACGTAGTACACATACAATTAAAGATCTTGTCCTGGACACATAGAGAAGATACTGTGCAGGCTGAGTCTCAATAGAGCTTCCAGGGGTGTAAATGAAGCCAGTGAAGGAACTGTGGAAGGAAATGGCAGCTGGAATATAGAACTCTTGTGATCAAAGCACTATCTTCTCTGCTATGTGTCTGACGCAAGATTTTTAATTGCGAGTGCATTACATACATTGTATTTACCATAAACAAGGTCCACAGTATCATGTCAGTGTGCTCTCTTTTGCCTATCCTCCTGTCACATTGCACTGAATGGGAAAAGTGACTGGATTTCTTTAAGAAAGAACTGTATATACTATGTATACTTTTTATGATGTTGTGCAATTTTCACAGACAGAAATACTATATGCTTTGACAGTAAAGTTTAGTCTAGCCATGGAATACTGGGTATGTATAATCCCATTTTCTTCCATATATATCAACACCCACAATCACACATGTGCCTATAACACCTACAAATAGAGGCAGATTTAATATTTTACCTCAGAGTCTTTAGTATTCTAAGTGTATAACAAATGTACATATATATTAATTGTATATGCATTTATTGTTATTCAAAGAGACTGTAATGATATAAAAAATATATTTTTTTACATTTTGTTATACTTTTTCAGCTACTTGAACATTATAACAGCAATGAAGTCATAAATAAAGCCCTCAAAAATATAGACTTTTATATTGTTCCTGTTCTCAATATTGATGGATTTGTGTACTCCTGGAATACGGTAAGGAAATATAATATTGTATACTTCCATACAGTGTAAAAGTGTTAGTACCCTATGTAATCCTTACTTTTAAAGGTTTTATGCTCATTACCTTTTTTATCCTGCTTTTAACTGATAGGATCGTCTCTGGAGAAAATCACGCTCACCCCATAACAATAGTACTTGCTTTGGAGTAGACCTCAATCGAAACTTTGATTCAAACTGGTGCAGTAAGTTATTCTGTGCATACACTTTACTTTGTCTGACCCTTGCCTTACCTCCCAAATAATTGGTATGTTGTTTAAAAAAATTAAAAGCAATCCAAAATCCACTTACCTAAATAAGTGTCAATGTAATGTGCTGGGTCACAAGTTGTATATATTGTTCACTGCAGAGGAGGAGGGTCTTTCTCTGGGTGTTCACATCAATGCCTAAGTGATGTGGACATTACCTTTTAGCTGTCCAGCAGTGGGGTCCCCTCAAGATGCAAAAGATTGTAGCATGACAAAGAGACAATTGGTCGGCACAAGAACAGAATACAGTGCTGGATCATTGCTTATGACTCCTGGAAGTGGTGCCAGAGAAGGACATGGACAGTGGATTTAGGTGAGTAAAAATTCTATCATAGTTTTTTTTTAATAACTGGTTGATGGGACAGAATGAGGTGGGAGGTAGGTATGGGTTGGGGGGAAGCTTTGTTTAGGGATGAGCTTTAATAAGTTCTTAAGTCAGAGGGAGCATACATGTTACAAAATGATTGTACAATATATGTACAATCTTTTGTAGATTAATTGCACTTATGTAATGTAAGGGTCTACCTAAAAATCCACTCAATTTGTATCCAATCTGACGGGCCCTTATACTACATAGCTGTTGGTAGAGCTAAATGAGATTGTTCTTGTTAGCACTGACTGAGTGTAGAACTAAATGGAGGGTAAATGTCTCTGATCTTGATGGTGGTGGCCGGATGATTGGGATTATCCAATTTCCTATCTGGTGTTAGCCAGAGACCATCTTATACAATATAAGTTTCTCCAATGGAATTTATGTCCATAAAAAGAATTTAGGGTGAAACTGTACTTTGCCCATACTGGACAAATTATAGCGAACTTAACTTGACTTAAGAGTAGTTGTCTACTGGTTTATACTAAAATGATGATATAAGTAACATGAAGTGGTTGTTCTCACTGAGAAAGTCTAAACATGCACAGGGATATGCATGTCCCTCTCTATTTGACAGCACTGGGGTTTGGCAACTGGTTTCTAAGGCACCAAGTCCTACATTGTGAATAGGCTGGTAGACAGTGTCACATACCTTGAAGTTCCTTTCATTAAGTCCGCTATTAAGACTATATTACCTAGTGAAACATCAGTAAAAACACAAGTAATAAATCCAATGGGAATTGTTGCATCTAACATACTAAAAAATTATTGGAAACCAAAAATTATTGGAGAGAATTATTGCCAACTGCTTTAAAAAAATTAGGAGCGTGGGTTGAAAAGATCACCAGTGTTGAAGCACTTAAAGGAAAATTACCGTATATACTCGAGTATAAGCCGTCCCCAATATAAGCCGAGGTACCTAATTTTACCACAAAAAACTGGGATTTTGTGTCCTCCCGTTACCCTTAGGAGAACTATGGGGAAAAGCCCTAACCCCATAGTTCTCCTTTAACTTATCCCTTTAAGAGAACAGCACTTAAGTATTTTGTTCAGCATTGTTGAAAATATCCATGAAGATGTTACTCTTATTACACATACTGTATTTTGTATGTATGATGATGACACTATGAAGGCCCAGTGATTATACTGCTTGCTTGGGGGGTCATAGACCACCCAAGGTATACTGCAGAGAAAAAACAGTTTTGTGTTTTGGTATTCTTATATTCATCTGAAAATATCTGCAATGTCACAGTAAAAATTGCATAATTGTACATTGTATAATTGTCATGAACACTTGGATAGTCTTTCTTCATAGTAAGGTTGTCTTTGTCAAGAATCAGAGGCTTTCTGCACGCCTCAAATGCTGTCATCTTGCTACAACACAAAACAATGGGTTAGAGATAGAAACAATGACAGGCAGTTTATTTCTAAAAATAGAGTCCATGCTTAGTCAAGATTTTTATTTGATATGCTAAGTAAAGGTGTTTAACTGAGATGTTTTAACTGATTTATTATCATTTATATGATTGTTTTGTAGCAATTGGTGCATCTAGGAACTGTAGCACCCTTACTTTCTGTGGAACTGGCCCAGCCTCAGAACCAGAGGTCTATGCAGTGCAACAGCTGGTGAACAGCATAAAATCTGAGATCTTGTGTTTCCTGACAATGCATTCTTATGGACAACTCATTCTTCTGCCATATGGATATACCACAAATGAGTCTGCTAATCATAAAGAAATGGTATGATCTTAGATCCTTCTACTGTACAGTGCATAACCCTACATTTTTTCTGACTAGAAAAACATGAGTTCAATAGCATGTGAAACTCAGAATAGAATAAATCATTTCTAGAGATGTAATATCTTACAGTTGAATGTCTTTGGTATTACTATTGCAGTACAAAAGTAAATCAGTAGACTGAAGAATGATTTGCTTTAGTTGCATAGCAACATTGATCATAAAGGCTAAACCAGGGGTCAGCAACCTGCGGCTCCGGAGCCGCATGTGGCTTTTTCATCCCTCTGCTGCAGCTCTCTGTCCAGGGCAGATCAGCATTGCAAATCGTATGTGCAGGAGAACTGATCCGCCCTGGAACAGAGAGCTGCAGCAGAGGGATGAAAAAGCCACATGCGGCTCCGGAGCCGCATGTGGCTTTTTCATCCCTCTGCTGCAGCTCTCTGTCCAGGGCAGATCGGTTCTCCTGCACATAAGATTTGCTATGCTGATCTGCCCGGGAACAGCTGGGAAAGCGCTCGAATGCTTCACCTATTGGCGGTCACACATTCCACCGCCAAAAAACTGGGCGGGATTACATTGAAATGTGTGACCACGTCACCGGTCACACATTGTAACGTAGTCACAAACTTTGATAGAACACCGCCATCAGGGGGGACACGGCCAGTACCCATGTGAGGGGGGCCTCTTACATGAGTATCAGCTGTACCAGTGGCGGCATGGCAGAGGTGACAGGGGAGGGGGTGGAGGAGGCTGGGCACCAGCAGCAACAGGTAAGAGGCATTGGGAGGAGGTACAGGGAAAGAGACCCGGGCGACTAGCCCACCTGAAGCCCTGTGGAGCCCACCATAGAGAGTCTCGGATGGGCTGTGCAGGATCTATGGTGTGCTCTGCAGGGTCTCAGTTAAGCCCAGAGTCCAGTGCGTTACTAAGCCCACATATACCTATATACATACGATATAAAAACGATATATGATGTGTTATCTTCATTTTAGATGTAAAAAGGGTTTTGCATCTCTCAGTGTTTTCTTTTCTGTGGGAAACAGGTCCAAATGGCTCTTTGAGTGTTCAAGGTTGCCGACCCCTGGGCTATACCATCATCTGGAACTGTGTTCTCAATAGGCCCACCATCATTTCTTGACACTTCCCAAAAATATATACACAAGCAAGTTAGAGTACCTAAAGCAGAGGCTCATTTACATGAATACATGTAGTCAAAGGAACTAACAATTTAAAGGCTTCCAGTACCAATCTAGACTCAACCTTGACAGTAATCAATTGAGAAGAAAATCAAAATTGAAGAATCAAGATTACTCTTTTATTTTAGTTTACTGTAACTTTTTTCAGAGCCTCTATTTTGCTTATATAAGCACGAGATATTGTTATTCTCTTAAGGGAAAAGTGTCAAAACGGTCTTTTCCACCATTCCTGCATATTTGGCTTTTTGAAGAAGTACACGTGTCAAAATGTTTTTGTTTTTTTCCCCCATGTTTTGTAGCTATCCGTTGGGGAGAAGGCTGCTGCCAGACAGGCACAGATACATGGCACACAATACAGAGTTGGATCAGCATCTACTATATTATGTAAGCCTGATGTTATAAGTGCTGGCGTAACTACTTATTTGTGCTTGCTAACACTAACATATGAAGCATATAAATATGAATACAAAGTCAATTTAAGATCTGTAATATTGCATGATGTAATACAAATATGGTAAACAAGAAATCCTAAGGTAAGTTGCGAAATTTCTTCAACATTACAGATCAAGTCCAGTTGAATGTGACTGACTTCTACTACCTTTACCATGATCTGGATAAATGAGAGCCTTCACAAACATGGCAAACAACACAGATCGAACTGTAAGCCCACCCCACAAAATCCCTGTCCCTACAGTATGAATTCTTCTCTGTCACTTGTTCCAAGTCCACAGTTACAACCACCTGTAATTCATGCCAGTAAATAATATGTACAATCTATTATGTCTTGTAATCCTCAGTGTAAGAGCTTTTTATTAATTGAGAACAGTGTATTACTCAGTGGCTTTTGTTTGCCAATAATCAGGCTATTTTTTTCTTTTTGTTCATTTAACAGATAGCAACTCTGGTTCCTCAAGGGATTGGGCTACTGACCTTGGATTTCCTTTTGCATACACATTTGAGTTAAGAGATAATGGGACATATGGCTTTGTGCTTCCCGAAGACCAAATCAAACCAACCTGTGAAGAAACCACAGCCGCAATTTTATCCATTATTGAATATCTCAATGAAAAACACTTCAGCAGTGCATCAAGAATCTTCTCTGGCACTCTGTGGATAAATCTGAGTTTCTCCGTCTTAATTGGCACATATTATTCTTTGTTTTAATATCTGTAACAGTCATTATTTTTTGGATTTTACTGTTATGCATGCTTTCTTTCTGCAGGGGCTGAATAGGCAATAACAATATATAGTATTCTTTTCATTCATTGTGTGCTCTAAATCTGTGTGTGTGAACTTTTTACGGACCACAAGTCAAATGCGGAATTGTTTTGGTACTTTTAATCAACAGTGCTACTGGGATGCCAAAATAGAGTAAGGTCAAAACAATGTATTGCAATAAAACGTATTCCACGCCTATTTTTTGCTTAAAAATGAAACCCATTACTGATATGCTAATAAATAGCTCATTATATGAGTCAGTTTTTTTTTGGATGTATGGTTTGAATGAATGAAGTAAGCTCCACAAAGATTTGCACCACCAGCTGAAAATAAATCTGTTTTCAGATAGCAGCTAGATATAAAATACAGTTTGATTCAACAGCAGTTATTCCTACCATTCAAACAGAAATCATACACAACTGCAAGAAAGTTATCTGAACTCACTGGCATTTTGTTTAGAAGTTTACAGGTCCTTTCCTTGAATTCCGAGGTAATTTCTAGATTTATATTTGTGATTATCTAGCATTCATTGAATATTAGCTTGTTTCCTGAGCACTGTTCAGTTTATAACTTATGGCTGCAGTTTATAACTTATGACTTTATTATAGAGACACACGGTTAGATAAAGTCAAAGCTGAGTCACAAGAAATGATGATTTAAATCTCTCTGGCAGGGGCAGTTCTAACTTTTGAACAGATTATGCAGAGACACAGAGGCCTTTGGAGGCACAGGAGTCCATTGTAGGCATTTTTTGTAATAATATCCCTAGAACATTCACCTACTATAATTTTTGTTTTTACTATACATAGTACAAGGAAGTACTGGTATATTTAACAGTGTTGTACAGAGTACACAGTATCCTTCATTTCATCCTCTACTAAGAAGGAATTTATACTGAAGTGTCCCCATCATAGCTATAATATACTGTATATATACATATAGTATATATACACAGTATATTGGATATACTGTGCATATATATGTATATTTCTGACATGTTCTGGATTGCTGTTAAGTAAACATGTTTACATTATTATTGTTGTTATTAATGTCTCTACTGAACTTCAGAAAAAAAAAACCAAGCAATACAAAGGTGGGGGCAGTTGATGGTGGGAACAGGCAGTACAGGGGGAAACAGTTGATGAGGAGGACAGGCAGTATGCGGAGGAGGGGGGGGGTAATGGTGGGAACAGACACTACAGAGGGGGCAGTTGATGATGAGGACAGTACAGAGCGGGGCAGTTAATTGTGGGGACAGGCAGTACAGAAGTAGGCAGGTGATGATGGGGACAGGCGTTGCAGATAGGGCAGTTAATCATGGAGAACAAGAAGTACAGAGGTCAATGGGAGGCAATACACATTTTTTTACACACTGACCTTGTCCTTGAGTATAGGGCCCTCCAGCAGTTGGTATCATTTTGGAATGTGGGGTGGCTCTCCTTCCCTGGTTCACATGAGTCTAGGGGGCGGATTTAAGCCCTTGGTGGAAGCCAACTACATTGCAGCTTCCTCCCCACTCTCCCTGGCTGTGCAGTCAATTAAGCAGTAGGGAAGAGAGGTATTCAGCATTGCAGCCACAATACCAGGATTGAGTAAATCTGGATCTCCTTTGAGTTGCTAGTGACAGGTGTGCCTGCAGCTCAAAGGATGGCGCTTCCCAAATTGAATACCCATGTGTGCAGTGAGAGTAAAGTGGGCCACCTGAGCATTGTGGCCCTGTGTGCACTGGATGCACTGCACACATTAGGGATATGCCAGTGCTGGTGACCATAATGTACTCTACTGAAGTTATGAAATACAGCTTGGATACCATCTTGCACCCAGCCTTTGACTGGACAGTGAAGAAACTGCAGCTCACGGAGGAGGACATGTCTCTACTCTCTGTTTATGTAAGCATATTTAGGGGGTTATCCACTAAAGACCCAAAGGATTTAGCAGAACATTTGGCTAATTCTTCGGCTTGCTTCGGCTGCAGAATCTCTTCTGTTCAGCCGAACCGAAGGGCTGCTGTATGCGCTATTCTCGATAGTGCAAACAGCAGCCAAAGGTAGCTGAAGTAAACAGCCGAAGGCAACCAAACAGAACCCACATGCTTCGGCCTGGCACAGTAGAACAAACAGCTGGAGCAAGGAGAACGGTCTGCCAATGTGGACTGAATCCCTGAAAGTGGTTAAAAAATAGAACAATAATTTAAAAAAACCGCATGGTTCCCCTCCCCAATTTATATCAGACCCTTTGGGTGTGCTAGGAATGTTAGGGGGGACTCCCTAGGTGTAAAAAAAAAGTGTGGGGTCCGCCTCCCCAATTCATACCAGAGCCTTTAGGTCCCCCCAGAGCCTTTAGGTCCCCCCTAAAATCCCATACAAGACCTTTAAACCAAGCACTAGCACTAGCCTGTCAGGGCAGGAAAGAGGGGGATGAGCGAGCATCCTCCCCTTCCCTGCACCGTACCAGGCCACATGCCCTCAACATTGTGAGGGTGCTTTTCCAGGGGGGAGACCCATGCTGACGAGGACAAGGGCCCATTCCCAACAACCCTGGCCCGGTGGTTGTGGTGGTCTGCAGGCAGTCATCTGCATCTGGGTACCCCCTTCCATAAAGGGTACCCAGATGCCACTCCCTCCTTGTGAATTAGTAAGAGGTAGAGAAAAGTAAATAGTAAAAAAGACACCACACCATGAAAAAAATTCTTTAATTGAACAAAAAACAAAAGATGGTTTTTGATAAGTCTTTTATTCTTCAGAAAAACCCCAAAAAATCGTCCAACAATGTAATCCATTGTCAAACACATCGTCCAGCAATGTAATCCATCCTCAATCAGGATTAACGACACCTGCTGATATAGCATGGGTACACGATGCTTTTCCAGAATGTCCGCACCCTCCCAATGTCGAGGGCATGTGGCCTGGTATGGTGCAGGGAGGATGGGTGCTCGCTTGCCCCCCCCCCTTCCTGCCCTGCCAGGCCAGTGCTCAGATTAGGAGTCTGGTATGGGATTTTTTTTTTCATTTTTTAGCATTGGGGCCCCCCTTAAAATTCCTACCAGACCGAAAGAGTCTGGTAAGAATTTGTAAGGGAACTCCACGCATTTTTACATCTGGGGTCCCCGCTAACATACCTACCAGACCTAAAGGGTCTAGTATGATTTGGGAAGGGGACCCCTCTGAGGAGGAGAACAGAATGACCAATTCACTCTCTGCTGTTCGGCCGATTGGAGAATAGGGCAGGGAAGGAACTGCCGTACATTTGCCTCAGCCGATCCAGATATTGCATTGGCTGAGGTGAGCGCTCTTCTCTTCAGTTTGGCCGAACGTGCTGAGGCTGTTTGTCCAAACTGAAGGGCGATGAAGTGTGTTGAATAAAGCCGATGTATGGCTAAGAATAGCTGTACAGGGCTGCAGTGAATAGCCGAAGAGGCTTCGGCTCCCTTCACTTTGGTTCGTTTATTCATTTGGCTGCCTTCGGCAGCTTAGTAAATAACCCCACTGATGTATAGAGGATTACAAAAGGCCAATACTAAGACAGAACTATTTAATTACACTAGCTACATTTTAAATATCTCTCTCTATATATATAGATATTTCTATATAAATATAGATATATCTATATCTATATATATAAAAAAAAAATCCCCTGTGTTCTCACTGTTTTGCCGATCTGCCACCTTCTAGGAGAGGGAGAGCGTGCTCTGGAGCATGGAAGGGTACAGGAATGGGGCGAAAAGTGCTGGATTATCCTGGGAATGAGTGTCTGAACGATCTCCGAAAATTGCTCTGTTATCCTGGAAATGGATTACTGATCGATCGTTTGTGAAAGTGCTGTGTTATACTGTGAACAAGCGCCACGTAGTGATCACTCCCAGTACTGCAATGTATTGCTAATAGTTTAGAGCAGGCCTCAAAATTTCCACTCGCGCCCTCGCAATTGGCGAGTGAAAATTGCGGGGGGCGAGTGCAATGTCAGCAATGGGGTGCGTTGCCGGTGGGACCAGGCATGGGACACTACCGCCGCGGCGATCGCTCGCTTCTGTTCTTTCATCTCTTTCTCCGCTGCTGCAGCTACAGAGCAGCCGAGAAGGAGAAGAGAGAACAGAAGCGAGCGATCACCGCGGCGGTAGTGTCCCATCCACAGCCGGCACTAGCTCTCTGTGATCCCTCTCTCTCCTCCCAGCCCCTGCAGCTTCAGCTCCACAGAGTGGGCACTCAGAGAGGCAGCTCTGATCACACCTGTTATCGCTCCCTCTCTCTCCTCCCAGCCGCTCTGAAGCTGCAGCGGCCAGGAGGAGAGAGAAAGAACGCTGGCAGGTGGGATCAGAGTGATCAGAGCCGCCTTTCTGAGTGCCCGCTTCGTGGAGCTGAAGCTGCAGCGGTCGGGAGGAGAGAGAGGGATCGCTCAGCAGTGTGATCAGAGCAGTATTAAAGAGCCCCCCCTCTCAGTCCACATCTTTTGGACGTTATTAATCTGAGTTGTCCCACTCAGTATGACCCTTGCTTGTGGCCATATTGAGTGGGCCACTCATATTAATATTAACATAATATTAATATGCTGGATTAGTCTGACCCAGACCCTGATACCTTTGCAAACGCCCCTCGCCGCTGCAAGCACTTAATCTCTCCCCTCTTGGCTGATGCAGCAGCAGAGCGGCCGAGGGGGGAGAGATTAAATGCTTACGGCGGCGATGGGGGGCGTTTGCAAAGGTATCAGAGAGGCTTCGAGGGCAGTTGCCATCCTGCCCCCGGGCCCAGTCAGACTAATCCAGCAAGTTATTAATATGAGTGGCCCACTCAATATGGCCGCAAGCGAGGGGCATACTGAGTTGGGGCAACTCAGATTAATAACGTGCGAAAGATGTAGACTGGGAGGGGGGCCTCTTTAAGACTGCTCTGACTTTAAGACTGCGGCGTTGGGGAGAAGAGAACAAGAAGCTTGACTGTCATCGCCTGTGCCCGCTCCGATTGGGCTCCTTGGAGGCCACAGCAGTTTCCTCCGCCCGCCTCAGCTGCCATTGGTGGGAGAGGAAGACTGCCGAACTGCAGTTGCCCGGCTTCTGCTGCGCAGGAGAGAAAGCCGGCTGGACGTGTAGGAAACCTCACTGCTCCCCCACCATCACCAGGAGAAGAAGAGGTCAAAGCAACTGTAAGTCCCTGTACTTTCGTTGTGACCTCTGCACTGCGTTACATTCTGACTGTTGACCTCTGTACTGTGTACTGACCTCTGTACTGTGCATCACACCCTGACCTCTGTACTGTGCGTAACATTGCTGACCTCTGCACTGTGCGTCACATTGCTGACCTCTGCACTGCGCGTCACATTGCTGACCTCTGCACTGCGCGTCACATTGCTGACCTCTGCACTGCGCATCACATTGCTGACCTCTGCACTGCGCGTCACATTGCTGACCTCTGCACTGCGCATCACATTGCTGACCTCTGTTCTGCGCGTCACATTGCTGACTGGTGTACTGTGCGTCACACAGCTGGCCTCTGTATTCTGCATTGCACCACTGACTTCTGTACTGTGCGTTGTTACGGATCTTTGTACTCTGCGTCACACCGCTGACCTGGCGGAGTTAAGGCCGAGGCAGGGTAGGGGTTAGGTGGGGAAACTGGTGGCGAGTAACTTTTAAGGCCTGGCTGGTAGATTAGGACTTGAAATTTTGAGCCCTGGTTTAGAGTATAACATACTGTTATTAGGGATGTCGCAATACCAATTTTTTAAGGCCAAGTACAAGTACTTCCCCTTATGTACTTGCCGATACAACGTACCTATACTTTTACTTAAAGGGACATGTGACATTTTTTCTAAAACAATGCAGATTGATCATTTTAGGGCAGTTACTTTATAATTCTGAAAAAAATTAACTAAACCTATTATTGTTGAACTAAAGAAATATATATATATATTGCCATAAAGTAAACTCAATATATAAATTATGTGGTGCCATACCAAGTGTACAACCAGCGTATGCGTGCACATAACTTCTTCAAAGTAACAAAAAGATGAAAAAATCTGAATAATTTAAATTAGTACAATTCAGTCCCAATCTGAATCAGTGTATAACTCAATCTCCAAACTGTCTGTATCTTCAAAAAGGCAAAACACCACATGCTCCAATAACACACTCTGTGTGTAATGATTACTCGCTTTTCCCACATACGAGAATATTCCTGCTCCATAAGGAATGGGCGAGAGACATACCTAACTGGACATCCCTAACTGCTACTAGATACTAGTATAGGTATCGGGACATCCCTAACTGTTATCGTATGGTTTAGTATGGGGTATAGTATTAGTTAAACCCAACCAGAATCTACCAATCCACATGGATGCCGGATAATTGGGAGTTTACTGTATACATATTTTTATATATATATATATATATGCAGCGAGTTCCAGACCTTAACGCTCTAACAATGCAAGACAAGACTCTGCTAGCTTTGTTTACAGCAATCTGGCACTGCAAGCTATTCTTCAGTCTGATATAAATCTATAATGACCCCCAAATCCTTCTCCGTTTCCGACTTCCCTAGCGGCACACCCATAAGTGTATAATCCATTTGCTTATTTTTAACTCCAAGGTGCATTACCGTACATTTATCGACATTTTTTAGTATTTAAAAACTCTTTTTCCTTTTCTGTCAGTTTTTAAACTGTTCCTGGATCAGGGATACAACATAGGCTTAAACTACTAAATGCAAATAAAGCATTAGGACCCGATAATCTACATCCCAAGGTACTCAAGGAACTGAACAAGGAGATAACGAGGTCATTAAAGCTTAGATTCCCAGACCAAATTTAGCAGCTTTGGATGCATCACTGATACATAACTCCATGACTAATTTGCCTACCTAAATATTAATTAATTGGTTATAATACTTTTATTTGTACACTCAAGTTTTAATAAACTCCTTTTTGTGTTTAATTATATTCTTCCAAATGGAAAAAATGTTGCTAACAAGGGTTTAAGGTAGTTTAGGTATTTTACATTAAATGTTTTTGTAATGCACATTGACAGCTGTAGCGCGCTGTGTCAGCAAAGTTATTCAGATCTCCTATGTGCCTGCATCACACATACAAAAATGTAAAGATATTTAGAAAGATAGGATGTGGTGTGGAACATATTTATTTTTATTACTCATGTGCAATCCACATTGCAGGGTGATAAGGTTAATGGTATATACTGTATAACAAGGTTCAGTAAGTTCATAAATCTATGTAGATAACTAGCAGGGGTATATTGATAGCCATCATCAGACTAACCAAGCAATTAACAGACAAAGATGAAGCTTATCCTGTGGAGAGTGTGCCTGCTGGGTGCTTTTATATATGGAGGGTCATGTCTGAAGGTGGAATATAATGGGTAAGTATTGCAACAAATTACTTTTTCATTAAACTCACAAAAATTACTATTGTTATTGTACTATGTTAAAGCAGATTTTAACCCTAACTGAACATTTACTTTTACAAAGCACTTTGTATCATAAACAATTATTTTTGTATGAAGAGGTTTCTTTTTACTTTTTTTATCATCCTTTCTTGCATCTCAGTGCTGCAGCCTCTGTGCAGACACTTTAAGTCAACATGCAACAGCTAGATGGAACTTCTAAGGGTTTTCTGATGGTGGCAACAGTGGACCATGTGTGCATAATGTGTCCTGGAATGGTCTCTTGTAGTCTTCATTGGAAGCATATGTGATAGAATCACAACAGAGGGGGCAACTAGGAGACAAAGACAGAGTGTTGTCACTTAATAGGACGTACCAGAAAGAGACCTTTATAGCATCACTATGTTGAATATTGAATTATGAATATTGAGAATAATGAGTGAAATTACATTACCATTCTAAAGCTTATGCTAACTTTTTGTTTCCTGGGGTTACAGAAGATGCACAGCAGAACATACAGAGCTTAGCAGAACATAAAAAGCTGATTCCTTAAGAGTTTATTTTCTACTGTTTTTGTTAATTATCAATACATAACTTCCAATATTTTCTTATGACAGGTGTATGGTAATTGACGCTTGAGCAGTTGACATATTTTTGACAATACTAAATGTTACTCCTAGTCATTTTCTCTGAGATCCCCACTATGAGATTAGTTATCATCTGGAAAACTATTATTCAAACATGCTCTGTTCTTTAGAACTTTGACCAACACACTGCAAGCAGTGCATTGCCCTTTGGAAGTTTTCATTTGCTTCTGTTCTATCTTTTGCACACGATTAGTGGAGTTTGACAGCAAAATAGATTTGAAAAATCATGATAATAATGGGTTCATTTTTTAAATAATCTGTGACAACACATTAAAATATAAACTACAATAACAAATTTTTTAAAATACACGTATTTAAACTGTATATACAACATAAAACCTAATAGATCTCTGATTTAGTCCCTTGTTAGAAATCTTGTCAGCTGATGACTTTCTATTCTGTCTACCTCTGCTGCACTCATATCAGTTACATTGTTCCAAGCTATCTCTCAGGACTATAGAACCCTTCACTAGTAATAAGAGCACCGGTTCACTGAGTGCCGCAGGAAATCTGCCAACCCCGAACATAGCGACAAATCACATTGAATTGAAAAGGTGCTTTGTCATGAAGGGTGACTTTGCTGCCTCCGCCCAAAGTACTCTTGCAAAGTACCCTCCCAATGTTGACCAGTTGGCTTGGTATGGTTCAGGAGAGGGGGGCACGTGCTTGCTGCCTTACCTTTCTTGGCCAGCAAGGCTACGTGCTGGGATAAGGGTTTGCTATAGACCTTCAGGGGGAACCAATGCTATTTATTTGTATGCCCTGAAAACACATACTATAAACTTATCCAGGCATGCAAACCATATCAGAACAGCCATACCAGACTACATGCCCTCAGTATCGGGATGGGTACCTGCAAGAAGGATGACGGCAAAGCCACCTACCTCGCAAGGTACATTGTCCCCATACTAATGCAGATAAGCGCCTAAATCACCAGATACCTGGAGTATATGGGGTCCACAGGGGGAACTTTCAGAATCTGGAAGCCTCTTGAGAATAAGAAGGTCCCCAGATATCCAGTCCTCCCCCTATGTGAATGAGTACAGGGTGAGTACAGGCACATTTACAAAAAAAAAATAAACAGTATATAAAAACACAGAATCTCTAGAAAAAGTCATTTACTAATAATTTACAAATGTAAACATGGTTCCCTGATGTAAATGTCACATCAATCATGCCATCCAGCAATGTAGATTCAGTGCCAGTAATAATGAGCGATGCCCCAATGACTTGCCACCACCATGATCTTCTCCCATTGCACTCCCATTGCAACTTCCCCTGAAAACAGCACTGGGGTACCTGAGTGATGTCACTGACCAAATATGGTCGTATACATGGTGGCGGAAATCTACCATTTTGTGGCAGCAGTGATAACGTAACTAAATTACAGTCTTCCAGCTGCATTAGTCAGAGGTTCGGGTGAGCAAACTGTTCGAATCTGGCCAACTTGTTCATGTTTGCTCAACTGCTGGCAAGCTGGGTTCGGGTGAAACTCATGTTTCTGGTTTAACCCAAACCAGAAGCTTATCCTTACCCCTCACCTCTATATTATGGAGCAGAGCAGAGGGGCAAGTGTTCTGTAGTCTTTTAATAGGGTCAAAACGCTGCTTATCCATGATTACAGTACAGTGAGTCAGCGTTGTCACCTTAGAACAGAGATTGCAATACAGGCAGCATTTCCAGTTAAAAATAAATTAAAAGAAAGCCCATAAAAAAAAACTAATGCAGCTGCCACAACTAAAGATTAGTAAGCTTCAAAATATTACATTTTAGTCCTTGGGTTTAGATACCCTTATGTACATTCATGGGGTCCCATCTAAAGATTTGTCAAAGCTGGTCACTCTCAAAAATGTATGTTAAACTTCTAGCCCACCGATCTCTCAGGTTTACATTATTAGTCCCAAAGCAGCATATACATGATGGTTCCTATGGTAGAATCTTTACTACCAAGCAAAATTAAATAAATAAGAATCACTTGCAAAATGTATAGCAGAGAGTGAGAGCATCGCAAATAAAAAATTAGTTCAGTACAGATTTTTTTTAATCTTGACAAAAGTTCAATAGATAACAGTCAACATTTTTCAGGGGATCTTCACTCTCCCTTCCTCAGGGCTTTAACTGGCAATGATTGATAAGAATATTTGACAGTATGAGAAAACATTCACAGATTATAATGACAGCAGGAGCATGGAACTGACTTTTGCCCACAAGGTTGCGGAAAGCATTATACAAACAAGCTCCATCACAGCCTCCCTCACTCTCTGCACTGGTAAATCCTGCCGCGCCAGCGATTTTTCCCATCAAGAGATGTGTTGTGTTTCACTGAGGATGGCTGCTCCTTGGCTGGTGTCAATCTTTCTTTTAAGCAGAGAATGATCTGACATAGGATAATCTTGCCTTCTGAAGAAGCCATTCTCTGTGAAACATGTCAGAATGAACTGGTACATGTTTATATTGCGGGCTTCTTAGGCACCCATACCATACAATACCACACAAATTCTGAACTATGCAAATGGGCAAATTCCGTAATTTCCCAAAACCTCCTGGTTTAGCTGCATTGTCTGAAAAACAAAAATATAAACCTGAAATATTTGCTATTGCTAAAACTCAACAAATTCTTCTAATCAAAATATTGCAGACACAACCGTTTCACATAGGTGAGAATTGCTTCTTTTTCGCATAAATTAATTTTCTAACTACTGTAAGTCTTTATTTCTCAATAATCCTTATTATATACCATATACGGTTAATTATTTCCACCTCGAAGGCAGAAAACCCATGAATTAGTCTTTGTGAGTTGAGTTTTACATAAAAATAAAAAATGTAATGTACTTAAAAATAACAACACATGCAGAAATTCAACTGATCCATGCAATACAATTTTCAGGGCCCATTCACACTTATGTGTTATAATAATGCAAAATAACATGCACATTTTACTGTGCATTACCACAGTGCATGGCCACTCAATGCACTAATACAGTAGATGGGCAGCACACCACACTGCATAGCACTACAAAGAGAATTCTGGTAACGAAAAAAAAGGTCCTGTCTGATTTTCACCATGTTGATATGTCTAGATATTATGTCTTATATTAGAATGTCTAATATAAAATGCATATTTTTCTGCCACTGATGTCTTTTAGTGAATTACAAAATGACATGACAAAAACTTTTTTTACAGAGATCAAGTGCTTCAAATCATTCCACAGACGGAAAAGCAGGCTAAATATTTGCAAGAACTAACTAATAACTGGCTGGTAAGTAAATCTCACGCTACCTAAATGTTTGTAATAACAAATTATACAAATCAGTATCGGTTACAGATACAGTGTCAATAACCAGAAATGTTCATTACCTTTAAAAAAAAATCTAATTTATAATAATAATAATAATTACTATTATTAGTAGTAGTAGTAGTATTTTTATAATATAATAAAATTTTATTTTTTTTAATTACAAGCTGGGCACTACAAAGAAAGTAATGTGAGCCATTCTGTCTGTTTATGTTTTATCTGCTACTTAGTAGAGTTTGTCCTTTTATGGAGTTTCTCATAAAACATTTGAACTGTAATTTTCCACTTACCAAAGCTTATCATAAATGTGACCTTTACGATAATAATGATAAAGGAGAGCTGTAGGCAAAACACTAAATGGAGTAATACATGTCTAGTATAATAAAATGATCTAGCTATTATTTCAAATACAGTTACTTCCAGCAATAAATATTACCCAATCCACAATACTCACCTAAACCAAGGTGCAGGCTTGCTCTTAGACCGGTCCCTCCAGCCTCTCTAAGCGGTCCAAGGTCCTGTAAACCATCACGTTCTATAAACAGTGTATAGACATGAGGATGCTGAGGAACATTTCAATGCTGCAGCAGAAGCAGGAAGCCAACTCAGTTTTAGGTGAGTATAACATTTTTTTTAGCACCTAGACAAAAACGAGCAGTTAACCCTTGCAGTACAAGGGTAGCCCCACTGCAAGGGTTAATAAAAGTTTTGCCCAGAGTTCTCCTTTAATGTTTTAAAAGCAAATGAAGCGTATTGTTGTTCATATTATGAGAACTATGTTAGTAGTGGAATTTATTTGTGATGAAAACATGACTTTTTGCTTGGGATCAAGACATTACTTTTTTGTAGAGCGGTGCTTAATTTTACTGGGATGACTTTTTGCTTTTGTGCTATTAGATTCTGAAAAATTTAGGGTTTTAAAAGAGAAACATGCTTGTTTTTTTGTTGGGTTAGCCATCATGAAGAGATTGGTCATTACATTTGACCTTTTAATTGTCAGGTACCCTCCACTATTTTGCACTGCATATCACTGAGTTAATTTTGCTATTTTCACTCACACATTATTATTATTATTAATATTATACTACAGGATTTATATAGCTCCAACAGTTTACGCAGCGCTTTACAATATAATAGTATTATATATATATATACAGGTGAAACTCGAATAATTAGAATATCGTTTTATCTAAAAGGCAGAGCACCTTTAGTTTTTGATATGGTTGATTTGGTGAAGTTGTTCAAAACAATATTTCAGATTAAAAAAAACACTCAAATAGAACACAGATAATTTTAACATGAAAAAGTCCTACTAAATATAAGATATGAAATTGCCTTCAAAATAGTGAAAATTAAAGCTATACATAACAAATAAGCAATGCACACTAAATACCTTTACTACGTTATCTATTTTGCATTATACTAGAATGATGCCTCGAAAATTATGTTTAAACCTCAAATACATGCAAGGATGCCTTTCACATGTAATGTACTAGATGTTTTATATTTGTCTGAGTATTTATTTTATTATTTATTACAGGTATTTAGCACTGACTATTTACGCAGCACTTTACATACTGCACATTCACATTAGTCCCTGCCCTCCTGGAGGTTACAATCTAAGGTCCCTATTCCACATGCACACAGGGACAATTCAGACAGGAGCCAATTAACCTTCCAGCATGTCCTTTGAGTGTGGGAGGAAACCCACACAAGCACAGGGAGAACCTGGCCGGGATTTAAACCAGGGACCCTCAGTGCTGCAAGCCTAACCACTACAACACTGTCTAATTGCATGTATGTGTCTTCTTTTTGCAAGCTGGATTTGTGGGATCCGAACATTCCTGAAGCAATACATGCTGGACAAGAAGTCCATGTCCGAATTCCTGCTTCTCATCTTAATGAAATGAAAAATACACTTCTTCAAAATAACATTCCATATAGGTATGTTCTTGTATATAGAGCAAATTTGGAGACTAGAGAAATAGGGCTGTACATAGAGGTGCAGAGGTATGTGAGCGATCAGTTCATCCTCAAACCTGCTGCACTGTTGTTGAAGCCTACTATTTTGGGGACTCAATAAAAAAGTAAAGGACACACATGATGTATATGTTTGTATAGCTGTGTAAAAGGGTATGATCAGTACCTGTTTGCTCAAAAATTCTCAACATGTGAAAAAAAGCACTTTTCAAGACACCATCCAACATGTTTGATTCAATAAGGAGTAGAGAGTGACTGTTTACTTAGGAAAGGGAATGTTCACTTGCCTTAGTAAATAAGGTGATACTGGGTTCAGGTTGAATACCCAGTCATGAAAAAAAGAAACTGACAAAATCAAGAATTTGTTTGCTAATGACTAAACAGCCTCTGCTTAGATACATCAACCATAGTATTTTACTAGCATGAAGCCTTGCATAACACAATACTAAAACATTCAACTAAAGTGATGCCTAAATCAGGATGTATAATGCCGCCATAAGGCCCAGAGTATAGTAATCTGTTTGTATGTATATTACACATCTACAATTATATACGCCATAGAGTAAACCTGTCCATATAGTCAGGGGCGTAATTAGAAATAACAGGACCCCATAGCAAAATGTTGTATGCCCCCCCCACCCCAACACACCATAAAAAAAAAAGTACCTACCTCCAGAACATGTTCCCGTGCCTGTGCTGTCTTCATCTCCTTCTCTTCAGCTCTGCTCCTGCTGCCTCTGACATCAGAACCAAAGAAAAGATCACTCTGCCGCTCACTGCTGCAGAGGCCACCATACACCCCGCACAGCCCCCCAAAGACCCCACAGAGCCACCTGAGATCCTGCAGAGCCTACCTAAGACCCCACGCAACCCACCAGAGATCCTGTACAGCACACCTGAGATCCTGCAGAGCCCACCTGAGACCCCGCACATACCAGAGACCCCCACAGCACCCACTTGAGATCCTGCAGAGCCCACCTGAGACCACGCACATATCAGAGACCCTGCAAAGCCCATCTGAGACCTCGCACAGCCCACTTGAGACTCCACAGCACCCACCTCAGATCCTGCAGAGCCCACTTGAGACCTCGCACATACCAGAGACCCTGCACAGCCCACCTGAGACCCCCACAGCCCACCATAGACCCCACAGCCGCCGGGCCCAGCCTCCTTCACCACTACTGCCGCCAGGCCCGGCCTCTTTTCGCTGCTGCTAACGTCTGGCCCCCTCCTCCATAGTCACCATCGGGCCCCAGCCTACTCCTCCTTGGCTGCTGAGCCCAAGCCTCCTGTCGGGGCCTTCCTCTGCCCCGGGCCTATCCAGAATATTACCAAACAAGTAGCCCTGTCAACAGTATGCGTTAAAATCAGAGGTTTTAGTTGCACAAACTTTTGGCCAAAATCCAGAATATTAGCCTGATACAGATGCATCAGTGAAATATTGATTTTATGGATAGGCACCATGGAAGAGGTAGTAGATTTTGTCAGGAGACTGGAACCTAATGACCCTGGAAAAGCACCCTCTGAGTGCCGAGGGCATGTGGCCTGGTATAGCAGGGAGAGGGGGGCACTCGCTCATCCCCCACTTTCCTGCCAGGCCTGTGCTTGGATTAAGGGTCTGGTTAGGAATTTTAGGGGGGACCCCACATTTTCCCGCCCATTTTGGGGGGTGGGGTTCCGCCTTAACATTCCTACCAGACCTAAAGGGCCTGGTATGACTTTGGGGGGAAACCTGTTAAATTTTTTTATTTTTTACTTGGGGTCCCCCTTAAAATTCCTACCAGACCTAAAGGGTCTAGTATGGTTTGAGAGGGGTCCCCATGCTATTTTTTTAAATGTTTCTTTCTTTTACATTTTTTTATTATTTTTGAACATTTTTTATTTTAACATTCTTTAACCTCCCTGGCGGTATGATTATTTGTATTTTCGTAATTTTTTCGGCGCAATTTTTTTTCGGATTTTTTTCGTTATTTTATTTCTTCGTTTGTTCAGGTTTTTTTTCCGAATCTCCCGCCGGTTCCGCCCCCGTGCGACGCGTCAGCTCGCAAGGGACGAAACCCGGAAGACAGATGCCGGCGCCGGCTGGAGGACACCGCACGGCTCGAGGGACAAGGTAAGTAAATACTGTGGGATATTCCCGAGTGTAGCTCAGGGTATGGAGAAGTAACCCCGAGCTACACTCGGGAATACCGCCAAGGAGGTTAAAATTTATTTTTATTTTGTATCATTTTTTTCTTTTGTTTACATTTATTTTATTCTGATCGCTACCTCGGAGGCTACCTAGCGAGTAGAATAAGCAGAATAACCAAACCGAATGACGCTCAGCAGCATTCGGCTATTCACTCACTGCAGTTCGGCAGCGAGTGAACTTCCGTAGGTTCAGCTCAGCTGATCCAGATGTTGGGTCTGCTGAGTCGAACGACTTCTTTACTTCGGCTCAGCCTGACCGAAACCAGCCAAAGCCAGCCGATGTATGGCTGAAATCAGTCGAACAGGGCTGAAGTGAATAGCGGAATGGCGTTCAGCTCACTTCACTTCAGCTCAGTTATTAACCCCCATAGTGTTGCTGGAACTCTAATCAGTCTGGCTGATTTGCAGTCTGTGATAACTTGATCATTCCTAGGTGTTCTGCTATTGTTTGCTCCTACCTGTAGTGGAGTATGACCCTGCTACAGAGTGAGGCAGCCAACTGGTAGTGTTTATGCCTTACCAGACAATCACTAGGAGTTTTATGGGCAGTGGTGCATGCTGGGAAAGTGCATAAATACTCACGAATAGCCATGTGCTCAGGGCAGTCCGCCCCCAGGCCTAGCGTGGGGGTAGGGTGTATACAGTTGATGAAGCTGAATAGGCCTCAAGCCTGCAGGAGGTCAATTATGGACCAAAGAGGGGTCTGGAGCTATCTGGAGAGGAGAATCAGAAGAGCCCTTTGACTGCTTGAGTTGCCAGGAAGGCCAGGATGGCATGGACCTCAGGAACAAGTGTGGTGTCCCTCCCAAGGAAGATCTCAAGAATATCCTCTATGCAGATGTGGTCCTGTTACACCGTGGCATCCTCTACTCAACTAAAGTATTCCTGCACTGTGGAAGCTGGAAGGGTTTGGTGAGCCTGGAGTCTATTTTTGCCATGGATGTCTGTAGCCCAATACCTGTAGAAGATGAATATCACCAGTACTCCAGTAGTAGCATAAATCCTTGTGCTTATTTATTGAAGTGAAATGTCACAAACATGATATAGCCTATAGGCTATATAAGATAACAAGATATACACCAAGATGCCGGTTCCCAAACATACGAATAACGTCGCCCAATGTCATGCAGGCGCGTCTTCATGTGACGTCATGCGCTCCGCCTCCAAGATGGTGGCGCGCATGCGCAGAACGCACCTGGGTAATTACTTAGAAGCAATGGTTAGATGATTTTGTAATGTTCACTGAACTTTTTTCAGCAAAAAATAAATCATATAGTTATTTTTTCTTTTTTTAGTGTGTTAATTGATGATGTACAGCAACTGATAAATACGAACACAGCCTATAATAAGAATTTGAGATCCGTGTCTTTGGAAAGCTTTGATTATACAAAGTATCACCCTATAGATGAGGTAAGAATGGAATTTTCTTTAAGTAAGCTCGTTCCATTACTATAGTTTTCACTGTGCCATGATTAAAAAGAGGGAGATGTTCAATGCTGGGAAAAATGTTAATATTTAAAGCAGAACTGTACATATAATTCACTAATTAGAGACCCTGTCACCAGAACAACCACTATATTTTTATAAATAATAATATAATGGTGCTTTTTTTGTAACTAATATTGCTCTCTAGACAATTATTTGCTACTTTATTGCAGAGTTAGAGGCACCAGAAAAATACAATGAATGATTTACCTCCAAGTAAGCTGCATTCTTCTGTTTTTGGCTGCCCTCTGCTGCTCCTTCCTCAGCCACTAAATCAGATGTATTTGAAAGTTGAAGTTGTTTGCAGGAAAAGTGCTGCTGAATGTAGCCTCAACATATGTAAACAGATAGCTAACACTGTGATTGAGAGCAGTTTTCTTAATGCAGGCTTAGCTGTGTGCAGGACAATTGCTCTGGATCACAGCTTTTTATATACACTGACCTGCCATAACATTAGGACCACTGACAGGTGAAGTGAATACCCTTGTTTACCTCATTACAATGGCACATGGAAGTGTATGGAATATGTTAGGCAGCATGTCCCTGAAATTGATGTGTTGGAAGCAGAAAAAATGGGCAAGTGTAAGAATTCGAGCTGCTCTGGCCAGGGCCAAATTGTGATAACTAGACTACTTGGTAAGAGCAATTCCAAGACTCCAGCCCTTGTTGGATGTTCTTGCTTTGCAGTGGTCAGAACCTACCAAAAGAGATACAAGGTAGGAATTGGCCACAGAGTCATGGGCAGGCAAGGATCACTAATGCATGTGGGGGGCAAAGGCTGGCCCTCATAGTCCAATCCAATGGAAGAACTACTGTAGCTCAAATTGCTGAAAAAGTTCATGCTGGTTCTAATAAAAAGGTGTCTGAACACAAGAATGGCAAACGCACTCATCAATTCATAACTAGCTTTAAGACAAGGTGCACAGGGAAGGGCTTTACAAAAACAGACATTTTGGCTATTCACTTCAGCCCTGTGCGGCTGATTTGAGCCGTACATTGGCTAAAATCAGCTGTACATCAGCTGGCTTCGGCTGCATGTTCAGCTGAGCCGAAGAGCAGAAAAAAAATGCAAATAAAAGAACCCTTTAGGTCTGGTAGGAAAGTTAGGAGGGACCCCTATTTAAAAAAAAAAAGTGTGGGGTTCCCAGAAAAGTCATACCAGGCCCTTTAGGTCTGGTAGGAATTTTAGAAGGGTCCCCAAGTAAAAAATTTAAAAAAGTGCGTGGGGTTCCCCTCCAAAGTCATACCAGGCCCTTTAGGTCTGGTAGGAATTTTAAGGAGGAACCCCACCCCTAAAAATGGGGGAGGGAGTGATGGGTTTCCCCAAAAGTCAAACCAGGCCCATTAAGTCTGGTAGGAATTTTAGGAGGGACCCCAAGTTAAAAATTTTAAAAAAAGGTCTATGGGGTTCCCCTCAAAGTCATACCAGGCCCTTTAGGTCTGGTAGGAATTTTAAGGAGGAAACCCACCCCTAAAAATGGGGGGGGGGAATGTGGGGTCCCCCCTAAAATTTCCAACCAGACCCTTGATCCGAGCACAGGCCTGGCAGGGCAGGAAAGGGGGGATGAGTGAGTGCCCCCTTTCCCTGCCATACCAGGCCACATGCCCTTGGTACTGGGAGGGTGCTTTTCCATGGTCCCACCTGAAAAGGCACCTGGTCCCCGTGCCGATGGGAACAAGGGTCTCTTCCCCACAAGCCCTGGTGGCATTGGTTGTGGGGGTGCGGGCAGGGGGGGGCTTATTCCCATCAGGGTACCCTGCCAGTCGTTATTTAAAAAGTAATGAATCATATTATTTGCTTTTTACAGATTTACACGTGGAGTTACCAAATCCGAGACGCATATCCAGATCTAGTTACATTAAACTATTTGGGCTCTACCTATGAGAGTAGGCCTATTTACTACTTTAAAGTAAGTTTAATTTAAGCATGTTGTTTGGGACTGGTGTAAAAGTTGTCACAACTGAAGCTTACATTCAGCCCTTGGGGGTTTTAATTACCTGACATGTATTTAATAATTTTGCAGATTGGATTGCCATCTAATAAGAAAAAGAAAATTATTTGGATGGATTGTGGAATACATGCCCGGGAATGGGTCTCTGTTGCATTTTGTCAATGGTTTATCAGAGAAGTAAGTAACTATCTGTACGATGCACAGATACATGTGACTGACACAAACATGTGACACAAACTTCTGCAGTAACATTGTGCTAACAACCTCCATTTCTAAATATGATGGCGTGATGTAATAGGTGCCATAAAATACCCAGTACACTTAACTGTTTACACAGGCCAGGTCAAATGTACCCCATCCCCTTTTCTGCAATACAAGTCTGTGTGAGGAAACTTGTGCTAAGGGGTGTGGCTTGTACTCAGCTTTGCCAGCATAGAGCACTACAGTGTGACAGCAGGAAGCAGCATTTTACTTAAAATAAAAAATATTTTAAATTATTTCCTATCACTTTCTCAAAGATTTCATCCCCACACAGCTACCTCCTCATTTATCACTTGCCCCTCCCTTTTAGATTGTAAGCCCTCATGGGCAGGGTCCTCCTTACCATCTTGTCTTGAATTGTATTGTGATTCTTATGTCTTCCTTATATTGTAAAGTGCTGCGCAAACTGTTGGCGTTATATAAATCCTGTATGATAATAATAATTTCCAAGCAAAAATCAGTCACAAATTATGACTTCTGTGAGTACAAGTCTTTAAAGAGATACAAAGATGTGAAATTTTAATTGAGCTTTAAATTTGTTTAATTTATATAATTCAATTTATAGCTTGCATCACTGTCAATTTATTCAGCTCTAAAAAGATAAGGATGACATTCAAATGGAGTAGTCCATAACTACAAAAGGGCAACTTCTAATTGGTCGGCTTAAGTTACTGCTCTTTGAATATACTTATTTGCCTTACTGAATAAGCACATTATGATAAAAGCATTGATATTGTGTTGTTAAGCTTGTATTGTATTGCTTTGCCTTCCTCTGGATCAACAACGGGTAGCTGTGGGCATAGCATAGCGTTCTCTTTAGGCTTTTCTTCTCTTTTTTTTTCTTTCTACGTATCTCTATAGGTTTAACTCAATGGAGTTGTGTCTTTTTTCAACCTGACTAGCTATGTAACTATGTAACTATGTATACTTATTAACATATTGGGCCTGGATTATAAAATCCTCATAAAAAAGTAAAAGTTAGATATATGCAGGTTAGACCCATTATCTTCCTCCGTTTTACATGTTAGACTTGAAGTTGCATAGAAGGCACTGTACATTATTTACAAAAAAAAATTGACATTGGTGTCCCATGGCAGTGCTCAATGTTTCATATATTTATTGTTGATCAAGGAGTCTGTAATAATAAAACCAAATACATCCAAATGCAAACTAAAAAACATTTTACTTTATATATTTTTTTTATTTTCAGCTACTTGAACGTCATCACAGTAATAACGTTATACATAAAGCCCTAGAAAATACAGACTTTTATATTGTTCCTGTCATCAATATTGATGGATTTCTGTACTCCTGGACTACGGTAAGGTCAAATCCAACCAGCAAACTGATTTTCTACAATATTAGCCACTGCCCATACACAATCTTATATTATTAATACAATATTTCAGCGGTTAATCCCTTAAAGGGAAACAGCCGGGTATTTTTTCAGAAGCACACATTTTATGTTATTTGCTTGATAAAAGGAAGCCTTGTGCTAGCTCCAATTGGCTCTTGTCAGACACTAAACAGGACTGAGGACTCAACCCCTGCCCAATGTCCAAATGTTAAAAATGCAAAAGGAACACAACACCAATGGTCATGGAGTCCAAATAAATATTTGATTAGTTGATATTTGGATAGGAAAAAAACAGCCAATGCTTTTCGAGGGGTTCTGACACTCCCCCTTCCTCAAGACTTATATACCATACAGACTTCTAGTAGGTGGAGGCTGTAATAGAGTTATAGTTTTTTTTTTTTTATATTGCTTATGTAGGGGTCTACCCCCTAACATCCCCTGTAATAGAGCAGTGTTATTAGGTTTTTTTATGTGGCTTTTAGTTTCCGCAGTAGGGTGTGCTCATCAGTCACCTATGTGCTTCATCCACCAGGCTTTGCTGTGACAGAGTACTGTGCTGGAGAAGTATAATTCTGACAGTGGTCCTGTGATAGCCAATCAGTGTAGTAAACAGCATAATAGGAGGGATTGGCTATAGCAAAACCCATGAGCATGCTCAGAACTGGGGTCTCTTGTTCCTGCCACTCCCCGGTTGGGAGGTTGATGCTCAGGTGCTGGGCTGCTGCTCAGGCCTGAGAGCTAGGACCTTAAGACCTACACTCATGAAATGCCATGAGTGTAGGTTTGAGCTGGCAGGTGAAGCTGGGGATTTTTTGTGTTTTGTATTGTTGTAAGCCTTCCCAATGTGCTCCCTGCCAAACAGGCTGGTTATAGATTCATGCAGGTACCATTTTTTCTAGTTTAACTATACTGGATCCATTACAAGGACCTCACCCATGTTAACTAAGGTCATAGGGACACTGGAGTAACCCTGGAACCTCCACTGGTCCAGGCTACAGTCTGTCCTGAAGCAGAGTATACACTGGAACCTCTGTGGGAATGCAGACACTTCTGGCCTATTGAGAGGGAGAAGATGGACCTTCCACTAGGAACTGTACACCTTGTAAGAAGTGATATTATTCGACTATCAGCATTTTTGGATATTCCAGCATATCTATCCACATCTTCTGTTCCACGTTCTACAATAAATATTTAAAAGACACCCATGGACTCAAGCTCTGCTTACTTCTGCAAGATGGTTTATGTGATTAATAACACCTGGGGACAAGGTTATCACATCTGGGGGTCCGGCATGTAACCACGTGGCCCAGTTGGGTGGAGGCACTGCCATTACAGTTATGTTACAGTCCCTTACTCCCACTTAGCGAAGGCTCAGGATTTTCAAGTTACCTACAGGCTAGCAGCGGTAGCTGATTAGAGACGGTCGTTTCATATGACCACACACCCCCCGCCCAAAACAGGCCTAAACTTATGTTCGTTAGGAGCAGTAATCCTATTCCTATGGCTAGTCCGCAGAGGACAGGCTGGCAGGGGTCAGGCTGTTCTACTAAGGCCTTGGCTGCTTCCTAAAGAAAATAAATTATAACGTTTTTGAACACCTTTTGTTTTGATGTACCTAGAATGTATTTAGCTCAGTTAAACTAAAAGGATGTCTAAACACAAGAACAAGAATTTTCTATATTGTAGCTTAGCAGTCCATAGATATCTTGTCTGCATTAGCTTTCTTTTTTCGGTCTAAGTATATTTTCAACAAATACAGAAAATACTTGTTGATCTTGCCAGAAATGCAATGCTCTTGCCACCTCCTATGTGCTCAAAAGAGAGCAAAAACAACTTTGTCTTTCTTCTGTGAACTACTAATCTCCCCATGCCCTATGTAATGGAGATAAACAAGATGGACATGTTCGTACTGCAGCCTGGGAGGCTTACACAGATATAGATACTGTGAGCTTAGCAACCTGGGGACAGGAAGTATACTTTTTGTAGCATTACCAGATGAAAAAAGGCTGAAAAATATCTCTGGCAAGTTCAAAGGCACATGTGTGAAGGAAGAACACTACAGCATTTAAATATAAACTAAGCTTTTAATTACATGTTTTTTTATGCTTTTCCCTGTAATTTTTTAAGTTAGTGACAAGGGCTCTTTAAGCAATTCATCTGTTAAATGTTTTATTCTCATTCTCTGTTTTATCCTGCTTTTAATGCATAGGATCGTTTGTGGAGAAAAACTCGCTCACCCCATAACAATGGGGCATGCTTTGGAGTAGACCTCAATAGAAACTTTGATTCAAGCTGGTGCAGTAAGTTTATGGAAAAAAATGTTTATTTCTATGGTAATGTAAAATTGCCATTGGGAGTTGTTTGAAATGTTATTTTTCATATACAGTGAAAGTCGATTTCCACCTTTTTAAGTGATTAGCATTTATTGTGGTAATGTAGAGGTGCAGTAATGATGTATATGTGTTAACATTTACTTCACTCACATTGCAGGTTTTCTTTGTTTTTTATGAACCTTTTATTAGACCCGAATCGTAGAAATTAAAAATTTTCTCCACAGGAAATTCATTCTGACACGGGGGTCCCCCCTCCCTGTGATCCTGTGTAACATGATCACTAAACACCACACACAATACACTGTTCAGGGGGGGCGGGGGGGTTGCCACTATGAAGAGCTCAGCTGTAATAGACACATTGCTTTTAGAGCACAGAGGTGGCCATTTTTATGAGGATATGAAGATGAAAGCTAACACAAAATGTAAGTTTCTGTGTTCATATACAGCAACTGTGTATGCCTGCTTCATGTAAACTCAATGTACATTGCTGGCATATGTTTTTTTTAAATACTGCAAAGGTGGAAATGGACTTTAAGCTCTCCTGATATTTTACTGAGTTAAGTAGTTACTCCAGTCTAGTTATATGGATATTGGAATATGGAGGTACTGAATGGAGAGGTGACACAGGGAAGATGTGCAGCAAAGGAGCAACTAAGATTATAAATGACACTGCTATTAGTTGATAATATTGTTTTGGCTACCAGTTGCTTTACATAGTTACATAGTTAGTCAGGTTGAAAAAAGACACAAGTCCATCGAGTTCAACCTATAGAGATACGGAGAAAAAAAAAGAAGAAGAAAAGCCTAAACAAAACACTATGCCCACAATTACCCAATGTTGATAGCAACAAGAACAAAGCAACTGGTAGCCAATTCCGTAAGTCTTGTGCTGTCATATAATTGTGTTCCAGTTCAACACATACAATCAACTGTTCAGGTCAGCCATAGAGAGGGCAGGTTGTGTCCAGTCACTTGAATAATTACAAGTGAACTAATACTTTGTCCTTTCTGGGCAAAATAACAGGTTCACTTACTTGCAAAATGAAACTGAGACAGGAATTTTGAACAACCAGGAAGCAATGGCAGGGGAGAATAGAGAAGGTCATTATAGTATGTTAATAGGTTCCTGCAGTATGCTGAACCTATTATTTTGCTCCATATGGGCTAAGTAAAAGTAAGTTTTAAAAAGGTTCATGGGGCATGTTACTGCAGAGTTTAGAAAATTACACTTACTAAGTTGGCGTCCTGCAGTAAACACACTGCAACAAAATCTAATTGCTGGCTACAGTTAACCCAGCCCTAGCACAATTATTTGAACTGAATAAAAATGAGGTTCAGATTCATCTAAAACATTTTGCATATTTGGCTGAAAACTTTGTGCCCAAACCAGAATGCACTGAATAGCCTTTGCACAAGTCATCTGAGTCTCAAATATCTAATAATCTAAAGCAATGGATAAACCAGCCATATTATCAGTGTAAGTTGAAGCTGGTTAGGGAAAGCTAAGAAATGTATTTAAGGAGAAATAGTGATCTATAGATAATAAATTCCAGGTTGGTCCCACCACACTCCATGTCCACAATTCTATAGACCCAGTTCTTCTTAGGACTACTTTTTTCTGTATCAGCATATCACCATATATAACATTATGGCTAGGCCAATGGATAAGCAAGCTTAAAATGACAGGCAGAGGTGCAATGCATGTAGACGGAAGTGGCAAATAAGTCCTGCAGGACAAAGTGGTGATAGGGCCTCTCAAACTAGAGGAGGGCACATCTGCCACATCTCCCTATTTGAGACCTAATAAAGCTGCTCACACACTGTCCTGCAGCTGGAAAAAATGTCACCAACATTTCCAGTTGCTATACTTTAATTTTTATTGTAACATTAAACCTGCCTTGTCTCTCCCTATTTGGGCCAGTTCTGTTTGCTGTCTTGCTGCTGGACAGTTGCTACAGAACTATACCTGTGGGCTATAGCTTGAAAATTCTTGAAAAATAGACAAGGGAATGGTGAGGTGACGTGTTTTTGTTTATTCACAAACTATACCATTTATTTTATGAGGACAGCTTCCTGTGGCTTTTAGAGATCTGTTTTGTTGGTCAAAGTACTGATTCATGAAAAAGTTTTTTGCTTAAACTACCTGAAATAAGCCTTTTTTAACCGAAATGAACCAGATTGGGCTACTCAAGCTCTCTAAAAACTAAGTTACTTCTAAAAGAAAAAGATCAGTTTCACTGCCAAATATGCACGGCCAGAGTATGCTGTCACTAAGACTGTCAATGAATATTGTGCTATTCTGTAACACACTTTAAAGCTAAACTCTGGGCACAAAAACTTCCATTCACATATATTCTTCAATAGCCAAAAATGAAATAAATTCACTTTGTGTGCAGCAAATTCCTTTACGTACCAAGATACTACTTAGTAAAAGTAGCGGTGACATTATCACTGTTCTGCACATAGACTGTGGAGAGATCGGTGCTGTGAGATGGACCCAGCAAGTCGACCCAGTATAGGCTGCCTGCAGAGAACTACAGGGGCAGAGATAAGACCAGTCACCCTGCACAAGGAGAGAGTGCATCAACAACCAGTATTTATTACAGGAAACTTCTGCACAGAGGCAACGTGCATGAGTTGTTTAATTTTGTATTACTGCACAGATCTGGAAGAAGCACACAAATATTAAAGTAGGAACACACATGCCTATTGGAGTTGGACACTATATGCTTTTTCCAGAGTTCAACTTTAAGGCGTGCCCCAAGCCTGTAATGTAAAGATTAATTCATTTAAATCCAGAACATCAGAGTTTTAATGATTGATGCATTGTTCAGTCCACGGTTCTAATGGATTCCCTTCTTGATCGTGTAGCTGATGGTCATCTGTCATCATCTTTCTCCTAATCAAACCTTTTTTATAGCCCAGTTCCCCCTACCAAATGCATTCAAACTCCAATGTCCTACATTTTACTTGCCTTTGGAATGCATGTCAGGAAAAGTTCCGTCGACTTTCATTCAGCAGTACACAAGGCACTTCAGAGGTTGCATTTGACCTACTTTGTGTTGCACTGCAACTCTGTTGATACAGCATGTCCTATTAAGGTGAATTTAGATTTTATGTCATAGGCTGTGTTTTTCATTCAAATGCAGCTCCTGTGCGTTTGATTGGAAAATGCAGCATTTGACTAAAACCCATCAACATGAACCCTTAGCTATTATAACTATAAGAACCTTTCTCCAGCTCCTGTAGTGCTGGGGGTTACTTCATCCTCTTGCCATGGGGAGTACTCCAGGTCTTGCAAGAAGACTGGGAGCATCTTCTCAGGAGGATATGGGCTTTTCTACATTCCCCAAATCTCACTGGAAGGAGGATGACTTCACCCTTACTTAGCCACGGAGTTAAAGGTTACTATATTATCTAACATTTTTTGTCCTTTGGGTGATTTTTTTTGTAACACCTTAACAGGGTTATTTACAAAAGGGTGAAGAGTTTGGAGAAGGCAGTGAAAAATCTAGGCCAACATAGCTGAACTGGAAAGTGAGCTATAGTGAGAAAGTAAGGCTAACTATTTTGGCCTAGATTGTTCACTCCTGCCTTCTCCAAACCCTATTGTGAATAACCCTGTAAGTGTTTTTGCAAGGTGGAGGGGGTGCACATTTAAAAAGTGGACCCTGATTCTTATGGCCCGCTTTAAAAAGGAAATATGGTAATTCAGCAAAATCAAGATGTGTATTTTTTTTTTTTAGCATGTCAATTTTTATTAGGAATAAGAGAATACAAACATGTGCGAAGTTCGGCAGTTATCACGACTCAGGTTTCAGTACGCAGACTTCACCTGAAGAAGTAGCATATCGATATACATCAAAGGTAATTCAAAACAGATCATAACAACATATTAAAGGGAATGCGTCACATCCATAACAATTCCCTAATGAGGGAGTTCAAACAATCAAAATCAGGTCAGCGGATCACCTCCACCCCCTTTAGGCATTCGTGGGAGACGTTTTGGCTGAGATGTTCGAGTATGGGGAAAACGAGAGAAAAAAAAAAAAAAATAATACTATGCGGATGTACAGGTCTAAAGGATGGAACCAAGATTCAAAGGACATCTAAAGGGCCCAGGGAGCTTGTTAATTTCGCAAGATGTGTATTTTATGTCTATATATTTTCAGCTTTAAGTGACTTTAGCAAATATGGGAAACCGGTAAATTCCATTTGTGGGTTACTTTATTTAAAAGCTAATAAAGTGTCAAACATGTTATCTGAGCTGCACTGAACAAGGGAATTCAAATGCTCTAATGTGGTTACAAAGGAAGTCTGAGTTTGATTACGTTTGGTAAGAGGAAGGAAAATATTCAAGCGAACCATGGTCTCTTGCAGAAAAAAAAATAGTGGCCATGCCTATTGAATATTTTTAAATTGATATGCTGTGTAAAAGTCCATAATGAGATCCTTTAGCTGACTTATTTTTTTAAATCATTGGTTTGCAGCAGTCGGAGCATCTACGAATTGTAGTACCAATACATTTTGTGGACCTAGACCATTCTCAGAACCAGAGGCTTATGCTGTGCAACAGCTGGTGAACAGTCTAAAATCTGATATCTTGTGCTTCCTGACAATGCACTCTTATGGACAATACATTCTTCTGCCTTATGGTTATACCACAAGTCTTTCTGTAAACCATGAAGAAATGGTAATACCCTTTGCAATTATTTGGTTACATATATTTTTACCATACTGTACATTGCACGAACCCTGCACTTTTTTACACTAGAAAAGCAAGAATTCAGTAGCTATGATAACAAGCTTAGGACATGACCATTTAGAGGGTTTTTTAAGGCAGGATAAAAGTGATGGGAGGGTGTTCTGCATTAGTTGTGGTAGGAACAATAATTACATGCATTGTGCACACAATCCAGTCTGTTTTCTACCAAACTTTTTGGAGACTCGCCAAAAATAATAAAAAAAGAAATTATGGTACTAAAGCTCAGTAATACAAATCAGTATTTCTAATTTGTCCTCCTTTCCAACCACAGAGTGGTTGGAAAGTGCCTTTTTGGCAGGCCGAGAATGACCTGATTACTAAATTGTAATACATTGGTTTTTGATTAATCATATGTATTCTAAAGCTTGTATCCACTTTTTAGAATATCAGTTCCAAAATCGTAAAAGAATAATTCTGCTAATTCCTAGAAGCCAGAATGGCATTTACTTAAACTATTTCTTATTGCCTGTTTAACCTAAAGGAGAACTATGAGGCAAGTGAAAATCACTCAGCCTCATAGTTCGAGCCGACGTGTGACAATTAAATTGCACATACCGTTGCTCGCTCACATCTCAATCCTGTGCCTGCAGAGAGCCATGACTGTCACTCACGGCTAACTGCAGGGATTCCCCACCTCCCCTCTCCGATCCTCCAACGCTGACTTGCGGAACGGACGGGGGAGTGGGCGGGTACAGCTGGCTCTGCCTCTAGATAGGCAGAGCCAGCTGTCACTCACGCAGCTGGGTGGATCCAGACAGAATTGTCTGGGTGGATCCAGACAGCGGTGTCTCAGTATACCGCGAGCTGTAGCTCGTGGTATACTGAGCTTTGGGTGATGGGAGGACACTAGTTTGTGTCCTCCCGTTACCCTTAGGAGAACTATGGGGAAAAGCACTGACCCCATAGTTCTCCTTTAATTCATATCCTGACCCAAACTGATTGATACAATTTCACCTGTTAGATAAAGGTTGTGTTGCAAATTATGTAAGGCATGGCTATCAATCTGACAGCCCTCTAACTATCTCCCTGCAGCCAACATAATTGCAGGAATTTCAGTGAAAGAGACAGAATTAACAAAAATGTTGAATTTAACCCTCAGTATGTCCTGTCATCACCCTCAGACTTGTAAGTCACAAATACGCTTCATGTCTGTTCAGCCCATAGCTCCCTCCCCATGGAAGTCCAATCAGAGAAAAGAAATGTTAAAAAAAAAAGAGGTGGAGAGACGCTAATTGTATAACTGGCAGACAGACTTGTAAAGAAAAGAAAAGTTAGACAGTAACGTTGTAAACTATGACCATACTTAAAACTCGGAAGAGATTTCAATGGTGCATTAAAATTAGATTACTTTTTTTTTACTTTTTGTCATAATGTCTTATGACAATTATCTTGTTCTTTCTTTTTCTATACATCATGTTACTCTCACTCATTTTCTGTTCTTTTGCTAATTATTAACCATAGCTCACTGCTAAAACAAGAGCACATCAAAGTGGGAAAAAGGTCTTTTACTACAGATGGTAAATAGGAAAAAAACTCTATTCTTACTTTCTTTGTGTGCACCCCATTATCGTGGTTAGTAGGGGACTGCTGGCCATATACAGGGGTTTAGGGAACTCCTGAAATAAAGGGACCGGATAATGACAGGAGCATAGTGAAAATCCAGGACAGAACAGGAACATAAATTCTGAGCACACTGCAGAAATACAGAAAAGAAGGGTCAAGGTAGACAAACAGCAGTATAGTGTGTTTTCAGACAATGGTGAATGACTCTCATGCAAGTATCCAGAGATTCTAGTCTTTGCAAGAGCCGTTGAATGTAGAAGATGCTCTTCTGCAGTAGAAACCTCTCAGTATATGACTTATGACAAACAGCATCAGAAGCTGAACCAATACAGACAACCAAACCAAATAAATGCCAGTGCAGGTCATTTTCAAATATACAAGACAGAAGAGCCTAATCCAAACAAAGGGGCAGATAGAGGCCGAAGTTCACAAGTCAGTAGATACTAACTCAAGTTGGGTGCCCCAGCACTGGCTAGCGAGAGTGGAGCCAATAAATAGCCACATACACATGAGGGATGAGACATAGGTGAAAAAGGCCAGAAACACAGAATAGCCCTGAGAGGGAAAACCATTTTATTAAACAAACTGAAAGGGAAAATGCATCAGATGCATGACACTCATATTGCTCATCTATGGGAGTACAGAGGGTGGCAAAATAGTGGTTTAATTCCTGAGAAATACTGTAGAGTAATACATTAAGGCAGTCAAATAAAAATAAGAGTAGTCATATTAGGTCTACGTTTTAGTGTCATTCACATCGAGCAATGTAATTGAAGAAGCTAACAATTTAAATGTATTTAGGGCAAATCGACATAAATATCATTAGCCACAATTAGAGAGAATACTGGGAATTCAAGATTGCTTTTTATGTTACTTTACTATAATTCAGTTTGTTTTATTTCAAGAGTCATTATGTTATCTTCTTCTGGGCGAGTGCATCAAAGCAGCCTTTTTCTTAATTGTATCTGATTGGTTTCTTAACAAGTACACGTCACAATGGTCCTTTATCTTTAAATGTTTGTTTTGTAGATGGCCGTTGGTGAGAAGGCTGCAAACAGTCAAGAGCGAATACATGGTTTAAAATATAGTGTTGGACCAGCATCTCACATACTATGTAAGTTTACATGTATAAGTGCTAGGATAACTAATTATTTGTGTGTGACCAAAACTTGCATATACTGTATAGCATGTGGATATAACTGAAGGGTTGATTTAGAAGCTGTACACACTATGTAAGGTAATAACAAAAAAAGTAGACTATACTGAGCTATCAGCAAACTTATGCAACAAAATCCCTGTCTTAATAGGATATTTTTTTATTTATTTTTCCAGCTGGAAACCCACTATTAGAAATCAGCATTATTCTTAATCAAATAAATAAATGCCACCTACTCACATTTTTTATATAAAAACAAAAAAAGTCTACTTAGATATATAGCTTTTACTTACAAAAAATGCTAGGTTTTATATTCAATATTTGCACTTTCCATTCATACATACAGTAAATTATGGTAATCCTTCTAAATACATTTTATGGTATTTAGGAAAAGTAAATGAAACATTGTGGTGTTTCTAACCTTTTTAATGTAATAAACATGTTATCTATGTTGGTCCACTAGTTTTCTTGTGCTCTATCCCATACACTGCAAGCCATGTGGGTGCCACAGTATACAGTATATAGGAAACAAGGGAAGCTTAACAATAGATACAATCCTTCATGTTATAGTTCTCTTCCATTGTCACAGAGGCAAATCCCTCTTTTTCCAGTCCACCATCTGTAACATCACCCACAAGAAAAAAATTAAACTAGGGATTTTCAGAAACAAGTATCTGTATTGGTGCAGATACTTGCCATTTTCACGAGAACTATCAGGGTCACAGCAGTAGTTGCAACTGTGACTGGGCCCTGGCTCTCCACCACTGTCATGAAATCATACATTAAAACAGGGATGCACAAATCTCAAGAGTCACGTATGCTGCTTAAAAATGACAGCTACCTTCTAACTTTTGAGTCTTGCTCTAGTCTAGTCTTTCAATGGAGCTGGACAAAGTAATCAGTATTTGTATCTGAACATCCCTACTTTAAACCCAGAAACTGCAAATGTATCGGTGAGCTTAACTTGGAGCTTTCCTAGATTATACCCTAGGTTTATATGTCAATGATGGTCCTAAAATCCTACCCTTCTTTAAAACGGACCAATTTTAATCTTTTGTTTATGTTGTACACTAAAATTAGTTTAAAATGTCCATGTCCTTTTATGTCAGTACCTAATTGTCCAGTCTCTTTCTTAGCTTCCTCCACCAATACATTAATAATTATACAATGTAGATATTTTTCCCCCAGAATTTCTGTTTTACAGACTTTTTGTTTAAATCTCTCAATTGTAATATTCAATTGCTCATCAAAAATGTGTTATTCAGTCATAATTCCTTCTACTCTCATCATTGTTTCAGAGAAAAGGGAAACAGCTTGGTTTTTATCGTTCATAAATGGCAAACCTTCCCCTAGGAATAACCTATCTCCTTTCCAGATCACAAACATGATTAGTCTGTTAATCTTTTCCACATTATGAAATGTGTCTATATTTTAAAAACATTTTCCATCTAATGCATAAATACATTAGCATACTGTACTAAGAGCATACTTTGCTCCCATAGCTTATCTTGTATTTTGTAGATACAAGTTATCATACCAGTGCCAATGATCTTGTTGTTATTTTTTATTTGCTTCGTTTACTTATGCAACAGATATCAATGCTGGCAACTCAATGGACTGGGCTGCCGACCTTGGAATTCCTTTAACATACACGTTTGAGTTAAGAGATAATGGGACATATGGCTTTGTACTTCCTGAGAACCAGATTAAACCAACCTGTGAAGAGACCACAGCTGCAGTTTTATCCATTATTGAATATCTCAATGAAAAACATTTTAACAGTGCATCAAGCATCTTTTCTGGCACACTTTGGATAAATCTGAGCTTCTCAGTCCTAATTGGCACATACTATTCTTTATTTTAATATCTGTAACAGTCAACACTTTTGGATTTTACAATTGTGCATGCTTTTTTCAAGCATTGGCTAAATAAAAAAATAAAAAAAATCTGAATGTATATATTCATTGTGTACCTCCTCAGTGTCCTTGCGTGTCACTACTTTACTAACTGACATATCAGTCTGGATGTCACAACACTTCTTAAAACTCAACCTTTCAAAAACTGAACTCATGATATTTCTTCCGGCCCGTGCACCTTCCGCCAATTTTTACCTTGAGATTGATAACACAACTGTCCAACCCTCCCCCCATGCCAAGGTGCTGGGTGTCATCCTTGGCTCGGACCTCACCTTTCTTGCCCACATCCAATCACTATCCAAATCCTTCCGCTTTCACCTTCGTAACATCTCCAAAATACTCCCCTTCCTCACCAATGAAACCTCAAAACTACTCATCCACTCGCTTGTTATCTCTGGTCTTGACTATTGCAACTCCCTCCTCATTGGCTTAACTCTACACTGGCTATTCCCCCTTCAGTCTATCATGAATGCTGCTGCTGGACTCATTCACCTAACCAACCGCTCAGTGTCTGCAACACCCCTCTGCCAATCCCTACACTGGCTTCCAATAGACCAAATGATAAAATTCAAAATATTAACAAAGCCATCCACAACTCTGTCCCCGGCTATATCTCAAACTTTGTCTTAAAGTATCACCCTAACCGTCCCCTCCGCTCTTCAAAAGACCTTCTGCTTTCCAGCTCCCTCGTCAACTCCTCCCATGCTCGCCTCCAGGACTTCTCTAGAGTCTCTTCTGTCCTCTGGAACTCTTTACCCCAACCTGTCCCTCTATCTCCCACTCTGACTGCCTTTAGGCGATCCCTTAAGACTCATCTCTTCAGGGAAGCCTATCCCACCTCAACCTAACCACACAACCATCATGTTCTCAAACAACTCATCCCCACACAGCTACCCCCTCATGTATCATGCTACCCCCTCATGTGGTGCAGAGACTCCCTATAGACTTGAATGTGGCCATACTCCTCCACTAAGTACCTTAAAAGGAGTGACTTCAGTCTATGTTAGGTTTGTAGCTTGGGAAGGGGGAGGTCTGGGGGGTATTAATTAAAGATGAAGCTGTCATTTTAGAAGTTTAAAATATAGCAAATGTGCAGTATAAATACCTAATTATCTGCATTTTTTCCTGTTGGGTGTATTGGTTGAAAAAAAAAGAGAGCCTCCACAAAGATTTGGGCAAGTAGCAGAAAAGAAACCTGTTTCAGAAACAGAAAACATAATAGCTATATAATACAGTTTGATTTTACAGTAGGTTGTCCTACAATCCACACATTAATCATATACAACCAAGGTAAAGTAAATGTACCGACTCTTCTAATCCCATGTAGAAGGGGCACATATAGGTTTTATTCAGTATATGGAGCCAGCCTTTATTACATATAGATATTATTAGGGTTATTCACTAAAGAGCCAAAGGATCCAGCCATAGCTTCGGCTGATCCTTTGTCTCACTTCGGCCGCCTCTGCCCATTGGTTCAGTCAAACCAAAGGACTTCTGTACGGGCTATGAACAATAATTGTTAATAATTGTTTTCTATGTGTTCTTGCATGGACCCTGCATTGATCTATGCAGGTCAACGCAGCTGAACAGAGAAAGTGTGAAAGAGCCCTTAAAATACTTAAATTCTGTACTTTTGCCTGTATTTTATTTTAGGTTGTTTAGGTCATTTACAATGAAACCATGAAATTATTTATTCTCACTGCCGTAAAGTGGACCTTTAACCCCTTTCAGTAAAATCACATCAGCGTGCAGCTCTGCATGCTGATTTAAGATCATCTTACACTCATTAATTAATCAAACTTGGTTTTCATTTACTTACAAATAGAGTTCATCTACTTCCTGGTCCACTTCTGGCACAAATGTAATGTGCCCAAGCATTGCATCTTGGGAAGGTAACATCAGCAGAGCATTGCTGGGAAATCTCATCAGTAATCTCAGGAGAACTCAGTGAAATGTTTCTCCCCTGAGATGATGTGCATGGTCAGCTGTCCTAGTCACATGTGCCAGAGTTCCAGGAAGTAAAGGTAGAGCCCCTTGCAGAGCCCACCTGAGATCCCAAACAGCCCACCTGAGAGTGACCCCGCAGAGCCCACCATAGACCCTCTATGGTGGGCTCTGTAGGGTCTCAGGTGTGCTGGTCACACCCCTGAGCACCTCTTACCTGTCAGCCCTGATCCGCTGTCAGCCTCCTACAGCGCCGAACCCCGCCTCCTCCTCCTCCATGGTTGCTGGCAGACCCCGCCTCCTCCATCACCGGGCCCCACCTCCTCCGCTGCCGACGCCGGGCCCAGCCTTCTCCTCCGCAGCTGCCACTGTCAGAAGAGTGGGAAAGAAAAGAGAAATAAGGTTGGCAATTATCTAAAAAGTTTGTAGATTTTGATTACTAACAATTTCTAAAGGTGTGTTTGTTGTTATTTTAAAGATATGGGTAAAGTTGCTCTTTAAGAAAGCTCTGTTGGCTATGTGGATGTAGAACCTGGAGATTCGGTAAAACATGTAATGGTTCATATTGGACTCTTACTCATTTATATGGGCAACTTAGCTGGTCATGTTGTGTAAACATTAGCCTCTTTTGTCGTCCACCAGTGTCCCTGCCCTCTGCTTGTGTTGTGAGCACTGTTTATTTATGGAACTTGAAGATGCCTACTGTAACAGCAAAGATCTTCGTTGTCATTTCTAGAGTCTTCGTGTCATCTCAATAAGGGTTAAAGTACATAGACTTCTAAGATCAGTTACACTCTGTTTAAGATTTATTTTGTTCTTGGTTATATACCTACATTCAAGTCAATACTATTTAATAGCAAACACATAGTAAATACGTGGCAAACATGTGGAAAATTAATGATAAAGACTGTTCAAAAGCCTGTGAACTCTTGCCCTAAAGGCGAAACTGCTCATAGTTCTAAGTTGGAGGTAGCAGTGTCAGCAGGTTTGTTCAGCTTGCCTGAATGCATACATAACACGTACAACAGTGGAAAATAATTATAAATCCAGGCTTGGGGTGGAGCATGTATATATTTTTATCACCTATGATCATTCCTTATTGCAGGGTAATAAACATTATCTATATAACAATTTTCAGCTAAGTCACAAATCTATGCAGATACAGGGATAACTAACAGGGGTTTAGTATGTTTAGTAGCTGTCATCACACAACACTACACAAGAGCAATTTAGTAAAAGATGAAGCTTGTCCTCTGGATATTGTGCCTGCTGGGAACCTTTTTATATGGGGGGTCATGTTTAAAGGTGCAATATAATAGGTAAGTGTTGCAGCAAATATTTTTATTTTTATCATACTTACAGAACAACGATTTTATGTATAGTATTCCTACTTGACAGCAATCAGCCTAAAAGTATAAACAACCTACTTTTATTTAGTTTTGTTGTAACGTAAACTATATGAAATCAAAAGCAGAAAATGCATGGTTGTTTCCTTGAAGGAAGATTTTCACTGTTTATGTTAGTTATGTCGTTCTGCCAAACATTTGCTCTAGGTTTTAATTACTCGTATAAACTGACTGCCCTCTATAAGAAAGTTTTGCAGTGTTTGGAACATTTGCCATTGCTTATTGTTCAGTTTTCCCTGGCTTATTCCATACAGTTTTCAGCTTGTGAAAACAGTGTATATTTCACAAGTAATACTTTTTGGCTCTTAAGAATGGCATTATATATGGTTAACAAATAAGAAGGAAAATGTACCCTCGCTACAAACAATTCAGTCACCATCAATTCAGGAAGAATAATAGAATTATTCCACACCAATATAATTACCAAGATTTTTTAAGCCAGCTAATTGTTTTTGCAAATTAAACTAGATAGAATGTTCAAAAGCAAATTAACACAGAAAAGAAACATTGGTGGAACTATAGATATTTCGCCACATTTTTAGTTGATATTGAGATAAAAAAAAGCAACAAGGACTTAAATTTAACCTGCTATGAGTGTAATGTAAGACCAAAAAGTGTCCATTGGAAAGTGCATCCATGATCTGCCCACCCATTTTTTAACAAATTTAATTATGGACATGGGTTCTTTTCTACATTAGGAATAAGCGAATCTGCCCGGGTTCAATTTGCAGGGGGTTAGGTTGAATCCTGTTGTAATTAGGGATGCACCGAAATTTTGGCCACCGAAAACATATCGGTTAAAAATGGCACCTATGGCAAAATGCAGAAAGTGCCATCTTTCGGTAGAAATTGCGGTGCATGCCTAGTTTTTCTCCTCCCCGCTGGGCTCTTCTCTGTGAAACTGAGAGAACTGTCAGAGGAGGCTGAGCAGTGCGGGGGAGGATAGCGCTGTGAACACCCGGCGTGTCACAGGAGGAGCTCTCCTACCGTACTGCCCCCTCAGCCACCCCTGAACAATCAGGATGGAGAGCAGTGTCGGAGCGGAAACAGCTGTGTGTTGTCAAAGGAGCCTGAGCCGGCAGGGAGAGGGGGAGGGGTCAGCTGGTTGGGCCTGGCCTCTGTGGTTTTAAAAAAATCTGAAAAGCAGCACTGCCACTGTTACTCTTCCTTTCAGGAATCATAGGATCGGGGGCAGGTTGGTAATCAGGGGGGATCCTGCCACCCCCTTATGCAACACCTCCCTAAAGTGCTGCAATTTACCCCTACTGTCATTACATATAAAACATCTGCTGCTCACTTAAGGCTTGCCTGACATTTTTAATAAAGGGGCATAAATCTAATCACAGTTATGGAAATAAGGGGAATACATGTGGTGTTATGGTGCACACTCAGGGCCATAGCGAGGGCGAGGCAACTTAGGCTCTTGCCTCAGGTGCAGGGAGGGGGCACAGCCAGGGCTCAGCATGGCACTGAGAAATGGGGCGGCACAGCTTGCAGATTCTCCTCTGGATCCCCGCTGCTCTTCCCCATCTGTATGGGCGGAGGCAGCGGGGATCCAAGGAGAAGTGAAGCGCTGCAGCCGGCATGGGGGGGGCAGGGGAGGGAGCTGCTGTCACAGCAGCGTAGCCATGTGGTTAGGGGAGATAGAGAGACGCTCGCCAGGATTTGACAGCCGGCGGCTCTCTCTCCTCACCACTCGACCATGCTGCTGTGACAGCCGCT